ACCTAGAACTACTTGGCACGATGCTCCGAGAAATTCAGGACTGAAGTCACATGCTGCTCTGTGTTGCCAACTGTCCTCCGGAGAGCTGTAGTAGCCTCGTCCCGTGTGGCCTGGACAAGCAGCATCTGCACCCGGCGTGAGAGCCCCAGCCGCTCAGCTGCCGCGGTAGTGCGCAACATGTTCACACCTGCTTCGCTAAATACCCACCATCCTCTTGTGTTCTAGCCCGCCTCAGCGGGAGTTGAGAAACCAATCCGAAAGGTTCCTTTCTGAGATTGACAGCATACCTGCGGTGCCCGTGTGACAGGACGTTCATTGCGGAACCGTAGTGTTTACATATGCCCCTGACACTTTCGTGGCCCACGGAGAGCATGTGCGGCTGCCTGCAGCTCATCCAGGATGCTTTTGAATGTCTTCTCGGGCCTTAGATTTGCTTCTGTCGCACGTGAAAGCGAAGCACCCAGAAGGGCGAGAAACGAAGCAGAGACCAGCCTGCCGCAGGATCATGATCACCACACTGTCACACGGAAACTGAACAACCCAACCAGTACTGCAAATAACAACTCACAAACATGATGATGCACACAGTCACTTTTTGAGCAAGCTATCGACACCACTGCATTTCTAGTCTCGCTGCTTAGTTACCAGCTAGTTGGTACTAGGCATCTTGATACGACAAGCTCCCCATCGTCGTGTGGCGATCACACTGATTCAACTATATGACGGCTTTATCCACGGAGAGAAACAGGGCTCGGCCGATGGGCTTCAGCCAAAGAAGGTGCCCAGCAATCTGGTGGAATTTCTCATGTTGGTTGAGGTTTGGGGTCGTTTCCGGTGAGGGACTATATGTTTCAATGTGGGGAAAGAGCACCTGCCAGTCGAAGCACAGAATACCCGGAAACCTTTCTAGGATCCTCCCTAGATCTCTCATGAGCTCAAAATGCACACCACGGGCTACATTCCTAAACCCCTCTGAGCAGAGGGAGACAACTGGAGCCCTCGATTCATCAAAAGTTGGACCATGATACACAACATAAACAACACTATATAGTTACTATACTTGACTACATGCACAGAGTCTTTGAAGTTACAACTCATGGGGCGTCCCGGAGGATGTGGCCGCAGCGAGACTGTGGTTTCACGGGACCACCATGCCCCCGCCACGTGGCTTCGCAAGTCCCGTACTTAACCAAATCCTTTCGCACTGCTTTTACTTTTTTGCTGGGAGTTTTTCGAAAGGGTTATATTATATACCTTCGGCCCAGACATGTTTCAATGTTGGAAAAAGCGCAATACGAAACAAACGGCTACTGCAGATACCTTACAGCATGACAACAGAGCAGAGAAGGCCAAACTGAGAAACGCATGGTATCGTGTATCCTATGCCTGAGACCCTGTTTCGACCACGAGGCGCCGCTATATAAACGGATTACGGAATCTTCCAGCAAGTAGCGCAGCCAGCGCTGCTTGAAGCTGCGATGTCTGCGCTTCCTGCGGGCTTATTGGTTTCTCGCAGTGCGGGAGGTGTCTCGCACTAAGCTTGATATCACCCCGTGACCCGCCGTGCTAAACTTGCAGGCACACCACTCCCCGGCGCTGTCATCCTATACACTGCCGCTGTCCTGGGCAGCGATGCGCACCTTCGCACTAGGCAGGTTGCGCACACCAGAGCATCGCGGCGTGTTTCGATGCGCGTTGCTCACTCCACGAGTACAACTCCATTAGCTTTGATGTGATCTGGCGCCATCGGATCAGAACGAAATTGAAATAGATATCAAGCTCTGAAGGATCAGCGACGGAAGGGAGCAACCATGTGTTCATCCCGGAAGCTAAGTGTTGCAGCCGTGCCACCATTATCTCCTGCAGCCGTCCCTTGGTATGAGAGCATGTGACTGGTGGAGATTCGATCTGCGGCGTCGTTTGCAAAGGAAGGGGCCCAAAACAATGCACGCACTGTGTTTGCCAGGAGCTGGTGCAGCTTTCAAGGGCATAATGCCTTGAAGGCCTTGAGCACTGTGACTGTCGTTATATTTTCACACCCTGCAACCACGGACATGAGACACTAAACCTCAGACTTGACTCGCCCCCGACCATTGTTTTAATCTGCAGGAAAAGAGCTTCCAAAGACCAGGCCGCAGTCTTGCTTGCCGACAGATCTGGCTTGCCTTCCAGCAAATCGGGTTGGCAGCTGAAGTGCAATGCAAGCTTGATATCTTAGATTCATAGGGTTCCAGATTGTCGAACATGCAAAACCATGCGCAAAGACCAAGCGGGGGTGTTCTGTAGTCGGTGTTCTTGACGGTGGCCACGATTCTACGACCCGAAGACCAAGACGTCACCCTCATAGGCAAGCCGAGAGAGACATTGACCTCGAGACACCCTCCGAACATGCTGCGAAGAACTCTGAGGCTCTGGAGCACTACCAACAATTCCCCCGCTGCCCATCTTCGACCTCGGAGACTCTGCTCGATGAGCATGCGCAGCTCTGCCACATCCCTCGCGCGGCTCTGCTCTTCAAGCTCGATCCTGGGAAAGAAATCTCAAGGGCTGCGAGGCTAGGGCGGCTACTGTAGGGCTTGGGGCGGTCTGCTATCTTTGCGTAAGATTGCAATTGGATGTCGAGGCTGTTGTCTGGAGCAGCGGACCTGCCCTTGTCCCACGGATCCTAGGACAGTTAAGACATTGACACTCGCAGGCCCCATGCAGCCAAAAAGCATCTGCACCAGTGCCTCCCACCGTGCCTGGAGCTTCGAGGGCGTCTCACTTCTTGTCCTTTCATTAAAACCCCCGGCCCTTTCCAAAGCAAGGGCTGCCTGTGCAATCTCCAGATCGGTAGAGCAGCTGGCTGGCGTTACATCCTGGCGGCAAGAATGCGAATCGACGGGTTGTACCCAGCACGGTGCAAGACCCCAAGCCAGGACAGCTGAAGCCCGCTAGTCCTGATTCTTCACTGGGATTTTGTGGTCCTTGGTGCTCAGTGTTTTTGCTCGGGGCAGTGCTGCGACACTCATTGGGACACTGCAGGCGAGGCATGCTACTTGCTGCAGCCAGTCGGTCCGGGACAGTCAAACGAAGTAGTCAAACCCAAAAAGCTTTCCCGGCAAACAACCAGTTGACCACCGGCAATTTTGCGTCACCTATGATGTGGGACGAGACTACATAAGAATCCAACTCCAAACCAACTCCTAGGCATCGTTCATTTACTTCAAAGACGGGTTAGGCAGCCGTTGGCTTATTTGCAGCGGAACCAGTAGAACAGCGAACGACCGCAACATGCGAGAGATGTCCGGGCCCCTACACTGCCAGCCTCGCAAACCCCTAATGATTCGTCTCATGCAACCCACAACCACGACACAAGCGCAGGAACAAGTCCAACCCCAAACCCTACTGCTCTACTCCTAATCATTTGGATTCAGATCGCGGGAGTTCCCAGCCTTCCCCTAGTGGATAAAGGCGATCCCATTGCCGAATATCAAATATCCATCAAACTGGAAGAGGCATCTGGACTAAATAGCAGCATGCGGGCAGCTTCAGGAAAAAGGTGTATAAAGCTATGGCCAAGGAGCCATGAAGAGCCCAGACCTTGAGGGCGATGCCACAAGCCGCGGTGAACCATCTGATTTCCGCGGCGGCATCAGGAAGGGGTCCTGAGAGGTTCGTCTCGTGCTCTCGGCGCTTGCTAGTGGACACAACGACTTCGATTCGCCTCGCGGTCAGAAATTTCCTCTTTCCCTGGTCTTGATCAACCCTTCTTCCGTTTCATTCGTTGCGCACTGACGTGGAGACTACTCTTCAGCTGCGACCGGGCCGAGGCGGACGACGCGAAGGGCTTACAAAGACTGCAATCCTCTCACCAGTGGCCTCCAGAGGCAGGTACATTCAACCGGACGAGTCCGAGATCAGGGATGGCGACACAACTACTTTTCGGCATCCGCAAGGCCATCGTAAGCCCATGTTTACTTGTACACCCGTCCAAAACAAGTCCGACTGTATGTGGGTTTTACTACGGTTTGGCTTATGAGCCGTGCGAACAGCATGCTGGGTGGATTCCCGGGCAGATCCTGCAAAACAAGACAAGAGGCATCGTGTTGCTTCAAGAGGTTCTCCATGCTTTGCAGCTGCTGAGACAAAGAGGCCAATTGCCGAGCATGGTCCTGCATTTCGAGTGCAGGAATACAGGGGCCGAGTGGTATTAGGGGGTTTATCACACTATCAATGATCATAAGGGCTAAACTAAACTAGTATACGTAATATGTTTAGGCCCCTATATTACCATGACGTCCCTCAACAGTCCATGCTCTCGACTCCTGCTCGATGGCTGCTGTAAGTACTCCGCATGCTAATTCCAAGTCTACTGATGCTGCCACTGCTGTCACTACTCCTCCTCCTCCTCTTCCTCCTACTGCTACTCCTGCTGCTGCTGCTGCTTGCTGCGGCTGCTGCGACGCGGCTGCTACTGCTTCGCCATCTTCGAACGCTACTTATCACTACTTCTCCACTTCTCCCAACCAGGATTCACCAGCAGGCATCCTGCAGCTGCTTCTGAAGCTCCGGTTGTTTCTGAATCTCCGGCTGTTTCTGAAGCTCTGGGGCCGCCATTGCAGCCGGGAAAAGGGTGCCGCGTCTTCGGACAACGCTGCGGCAGGGCGAAGAGATTTCTGCAGGAAAGGCTTCGACCTTCGACTCCTACGCTCGCAACGACCGGCAAGAATCACGATAACTACGCTACTGTAAAAGAAGAGATACAACCTGGTTAGAATTTGGGCATCGGCGCAGGCTCAATGGCAACATGAGCTGCATCTCTCACGTTGGTTCATAAGATGGGCGCAAAACAACCCTTTTGGTGTGTGGGCTGTGGGGAAAGGGGGATAGTTTGTTCTAATGTGGTGAAGATCGAGTTGCCAGCTGCACGACAAGAAATATCCCAACCCCAACAGGTCCTGTAAAGTCAGTCTAGAAATACCTCAAACAGTCCGGATTTGGGACACCGGGGCTTCCACTTTCGTCTCTCTTTCTCCAGGATGATCTGCTGATAATGCAGGAAGACCTCACGAAGGATTCGTCGGTTGCCCGGGTCAGCCTCTAACTAGGGTTGATCAACGCATCTCGACCTGACCTTTCAGATTCGGTCCGGGAGTGCAAGGGCTCCTGTGTGCAGAGAGCTCCTGATCCTCTGTCAGTGACGACATGTATACACAGTGTCGTGCCAGCTGTCGGCTGTTCCAAGGCTACATAGAAATCACTTTCACCATCTTAAGTAGAAAAAAAACACCGGTGTCTTCCCAGTAGCCGCTGATCAACTTGAATTGCGCTGCTCAGCATAAGTTTGACCCAAGCCTGGTCCTGATGCAGGAAGAGTGGTCCCAGCAAGTGGCTGACCCATCGGGGAAGCGGAGCCTGGGACGGAATTGTCTTCGGTCTCGCAGCCCTGCTTTGTGCCATGACAACGCTGCAATAAAACCCCACTCTGCTACTTCCACCACCACCACCGCCGCCGCCAGAACCACCACCACCTCCTACTGCTGCTACTACTACTCCTACTACTACTACTACTACACCTGCTGCTGCTGCTGCTACTACTACTACCACTACCATTACTAGTACGGCTGCTACGACGACGACAACAACAAATACAAGCACGAGCACTTGTACTCGTACCAGCACTCCTCCTCCTCCTCCTCCTCTGCTGCTGCAACTACTGCTGCAGCTACTGCTGCAGCTACTGCTACTGCTACTGCTGCCGCTGCCGCCAGGCTACGGCTGCGGCTACGGCTGCGGCTACGGCTACGGCTGCCCCTACCGCTACTCCTACTCCTACTGCAACTGGCAATGCCACTGCTACTGCTGCCACTCCTCCTACTGCTACTACTACTTCTTCGACTACTACGACGGCCACTACTACTTCTACTTCTACTGCTGCTACTAATGCTGCCAGCACTGCTACTACTATTAGCCCGGGGCCCCGCGGTGGACCCACTTTTTTAAGAAGAATAGGAATGTACGGTGCTTGTTGCAAGTGCGGAAAGTACTGGCCAGGCCGTATGTTTCCAGACTTCAGTGCACTGCGGAATGGAGCTGCTAAACCCTGTTTTGGGGGACCAGCTCGGGTCTCCGAAACTGTGATTTTGGGCTTAAAACTGGCGTTTTGAACTACGCCGATGACGCGTTTTTTCTTCACCCCTCCTGCGTGTCGCTATGGCGCATGACGTCTCCGATCATACGCCACAGGTCTTGCTGGTGATTCCAGTGCTTCCACTGGAACTCACGGACCCGAAGCTCAACGGCTTTTTTGCACTGAGCAGAAACCCCGTGGAGACTTTTTTCATCATTGCGGCATTGCCGCAGAAGCAAAACTCCCGACAGGGCCACAGCAAGAAAAGGACTCATGGCTGCGACAATGCATGCAGTGTTCAAGACTCATGCCGTGCAGTGTTGAAGACTCATGCCGAACAGGACGTCATCAAGCCCCACCTCCCCCCCCGAGTCGATCGGAAATTTGCAGTGTTCAAGACTCATGCCGAACAGGACGGCACTAAGCCCCCCCCCCCACCCCCCCTGTGCGTGACAACATCCGACATCATCTTCGTCATCATCCTCAGCATTTCATATAGTGATGATTCATTGCGGCTTGAAACATGCACGGGAGGTGGGTCCAGGAAGGGGCACCGGCCTAATATTACTACTACTGCTGCTACTCCTCCTTCTCCTGCTCCTACTCCTCCTCCTCCTTCTGCTGTCACTGCCACCCGGGTGACGACTCTGAATGTTCCCAGTCTTCCACGAGCACGCAGCATGCTGGGTCACTGGCGCTGTATATAGCAAATCCGTCGGGCTTCTCGCCACTTAGCCAAACATTCAAGCGCTCTGACTGATGGCTGATGCTTTACAGACAACTGCGCACTTCGGCTGCTCTGCCTGACTGCCACGCGGTCAGCATGCTGTGCTAACAAACAGGTAAGCTTGCCAAGGTGCTTCTCGCCAAGAATTATTTGAGTGGTGCCGACCAGTCTGGACCATCCAGGCCTCACTTGGATGACGCGAAACCAACATCATGGCCTGACTAGACGCTTGCTTGCGTTGTTTTCTTCGCAGACTGGCGACTTGGTCGGAACGAAATTGATGATCAACGTCAAGGAGGCACCGCTTTTGTCGTCGTAGGACGTCCTGGCCAGAAGCACCGCCGCAACAGTTGTCATGCAAGGCCTCTTGAACTCCTGATGTGCATCTGGCTTGGGGGCTTGAAGTCCATGGTACTCACCTTGGCACTGACTGCGGTGGCTATTGCGAGGCCGCAATCGGTAATAATGGCCTGCATGAAGTGCGAAAGCTTGAGACTCCAGCAATATTCTTTCCAACTTGTTCGATGGTGTACCTGACAGGCAAGAAAGCTTCCACATCGCTCCGCTGACTGTCGGGACCGCTCGTTTCTGCTCGCCCTCAGGCCGGAGATCTAGGAATCTTTGATCAACCACCGAAGCAATTGACCAACTGCCGGGGATCGCGCTTGAAGCCTTCCTTGTTGCTGGGCCTCTGCATTCCACGGAGGAAACATGCTTGTCAGAATGCTTCCTGGCGATGATCGGGGTCAGCTACCATCCAAGAAGGTCGCATGCATCTCTTTTAGCTTGAATTGCACGGACAGGACAGGTTCAGAGCCGCTAACCACCGCTGATCGAACGAATTTGACATATGGCGGGGTGGATGCTGGAGGCCACGCGCAGGAAGTAAGCATAATAACCGATTCTCCTGAAACGAAACCCCTGAACAGGACATCTTCTACAAGTGCAGAGTTCCGCAGTGTGCATCCAAAGCAGCTTCGAGATATCCTGGCTTCATCGATCAACGCTCCCAAAATCCCGAGGCGTGTCCGAGAATCCCGCTTGCGTACCCAGTCGATCTTCAACGGGCAAGGATCTTCATACCTCCCGTCTGTGCAGCGCTTGTCAGGCAAGTCTGATCTGTCTTCCTGTGCCTAACCAGCTTCTACTCTGCTGTAAGGTATGGCATGGTGAAAGCTTGCCTGCCTGTTGGAGACAATGTTGTGGTGCGCCACCGCCACATGAGCAGGGTCTGTAACATTTTCAAAGGCCACCTTGCATCGCAAAGAGACTTTGCTAGCAGGTTTCCGGAAGAGTACCGGCAGATCCCGACGCTTCACCACGAGCCTCCCAGCCATACGGGACGTCGCGGTGGGACCAGACCTCACGTTTCTGCTACACCCGCCGACTCCTTGTTTTGATAATCTCTGACTACTTTATCGTAAGGACCAACATTCAATTGTTCTGTCATCTCAGAGCTTCCAGGCTCCAGACGGAGAACTTTGCCTTGGTTGCTCTTCGGACGTCGGGCAGTGCATAGTGACAGCAACAGACATGTTCGGTTTGGGTTTAGGCGTGGATTCACAACCTGGGGCCGGCAAAAGAGAACATTGCGCATGCCTTTCAACGAGCCTCCATAGTCACCTTGCAAACTTTGCAAATAAAATTCTGAGAACCAGACACTCCGGCACAATTTCACGGCACCCTGAAGCACCCTCTCAGCCCGAGCGGCTCGTCCCTCGTAGGCAGGATCCTCGGCCTCCGGAGGGATGTTGGGCTCCTGCAACGCAGATTCTGAAAGCTGGTCCAGATTTGCTACAAGTGGTCGTATCACATAAGAACAGAACAGCTACGCGTGAGAGTGCACAAAGCCTTGGATGTCAGTACTAGGAAGTTAGAGCCTTAATTTTTGAGCTTGGTCCTGCCTAGATCCCGCTTTAAAACTTGACAATACTGAAACTGAAACAGAGCATCAGGCATCCGACGTTACCACACGGCACGAAGTGCTGGTGGCGGTGTGGTGCTGGGGCGGTGCGGTGGTAGTCGTCCTAGCAGCGGCCGTGGCAGTGGCGTATCGGCAGAAGCAGCCGCAGTCGCATATGCAAACGGAGTCGGAGTAGCAGGAGCAGCAGCCGTAGCAGTAGTAGTCGTAGTCGTAACAGTCATAGCAGTCGCACTAGCACGAGTAGCAGCAGTAGTAGCAGAAGTAGCAGCAGCCGCAATGATGGTGGTAGTAGTGGTGGTCGGTGTAGTGGTGGCAGCAAACTGCAGCAGCATCACCTGCACCCCACCCCCTGCAGAACTGGTTGACGGCTCCTGGAGAGCTGCCTCCAAGGCAGCGTTTTCACCACTTTCCCCCCAAACCTGGAGGTCGGTGCTCGCAGATGTAAAGGTTGGGTTGGAGACCAGGCGCTCCTTTCTCAAAGGTCCTCGTACTAGTTACCCAGTTACCCTTTCACTCAGGATGGGTTTTGCAGATTCCTTCGTTTATCTGAATGGCTGGGTTGCTGGAGGCCGCAGTGTGACTGACTGCAAACGAGGGTTCGGCTGGATTTGCGCGCCATACAACAGAAAGCCCAGGAGTGCATAGTTTGTTGTAGGTTCCTATGACCTCAGAGCTCTAAGCCAGATGGCTTGCAACGGACAGGATCCAGTCCAGGCATCGCTCCAAGCTCCATATGGAACGCCGGGGCGGGCATCTGGGAGTCTCAGTTTCTCATCTTTCCGTCATGATCCAAGCTGAGGCTGGGACCCACAAGACTCCGCAACGCACCTGGGAAGCCAGGCATGCCGTACAAAGAACCAACGTCAAGTCGTCCCATGCACAGCATAACCCCAAAGTCAAACGAGAGCATCAAACTCTCCGACTCTGCTCGCGTTGTCTTGCCGTCATGGAAACCAATCATCTCATGAAACATACTATACTTCACTCACCATACCATACCATATCATAATATGCTGCACTATGTTCTGTCCTATACTATACTCTACACCAACTTTATACGTTACTCAATACTATTCCGATTACTGTACTATATACTGTGCCACATACTATACTATAGGGCGCTATACTGTACGGCTCTGTATTATACAGCACTTTATATCAAGTCATACGGTATACCAGTTTTGGGTATACTCCCATTCTACTGTAATTTATGCACTGTTCAGTATGGATTGTATAAAGCATACTGTACCAACAGAATGTTTTTTGTGGTATCATATTGATTGCTCATCTCATAGTATTGTTTGACATTCACACTCGGCAATACCAGGCGAGGTCTGCAGGCAATAGGGGGCATGAACTCACAGGACACAGTATTATGTTATGGTACGTCGTATTACAATAATATGACCTATATCCATTATGTTGGATCTTAAAGAATATAAGACTATGGTAAATCTTGTCAAACAGTACAGCATGGTATTGTATGTTATGCCATATGGTATTTAAGTAGGTTTTCGAATACCATATACTTAATGTTTCACTATGTCATATTGTAGTACGGTGTGTCTACATCAGTTTTGTTGTCATATCTACACTGTCTTATAGTTTGGAAGATTAACTGTGATACGTATACAGGTATTTATATACATATACATGTGTATATATATATATATATATATATACATATATATATATATATATATATATATATATACATGTGACTAGATGCGCTCTCGCAACGCGGACTTGCCTGACGAGGTCTCTGGTGCTGTGTGCTTTGACGGTCGGGACTATAGTCACATATGTGTGTGTGTGTCAAGAATCGCATATGTTTTATATACGTGTATGGGTCTTTATATATATATATATATATATATATATATAGAAACAGAGAGTGAGAAAACAAAAGATACGATTTTTACAAGTGGTCACTTTCTGATACCATGCAATGTTATCTTCCGTTACATTCTACTCCATTCTGTTGAAAAGTATTCTGTTTCTCATAGCCCCCCGGCCTGCGCCGGTCTCGCCGCAGCACAGGCGCGGGCATTCTGTTGCAACTCCGGGAACTTCTCCTGCCAACCGTTTTCTGCTTCTTGGTTCAGGGTCTAGGGAGTGTCCGCTACGACCCCCCTCCCCCCCTCCCCCCCGCGAACGAGAGTGCACACCCAGGCCACCAGCTGCACTCTGCTTCTTTTCGCAAGGCGGGCTCTTTGACGGGTTTCCTGATTGCGGCTTCCGTGACAGCCTCGGCGCGCAACAAGCAAGATGCCGGATTTGCCGCGTTGAGGTTTAGCGGACTATCATCTCCGAAAACTCAATCACCGTTGAGGACGGCTAAACCCGGCCACATTCGCTGGACCATGGGCAGACCCTGCTATGTTAATCCGGCTCATGAACATGGGCTTCTCCAAAACTTGGGACTGCGAGTATATACAATTTGAAACATGTACCCTGGACTATGTCTATGTCTTTCACGAAAGTTTGCCACTCAGTCAGCAACAGGGTTTGGACCGGAAGATGTTGCTGAGCAGGCGTTTTCTCACCATTGCTAGTCCGAGCTCCAGTTGGGCCTGCATATGTGGAGGCTACCTCTTCGCAGTGTGCCAACTACCTTGTATGCTTCAACTACCGCTTGCAAAATCAGATGATACTTGACCGCGACCAGTTAACCCTGCCTAAAGCTCCCATGCGACAAATATCATCGTTGTTGGAAGAGCAAAGCAAAGCTCTAGGTGCAACAAATGCGCACACCCGCAAGCACACTAAACAAAGCTTTGCCAAGCAGCTGTCTGGAACCAAGCGTGAGGAAACCGTTCACCGCTGCAGTTCGACGTTGAGAACCGTAAGATTCTGTAGCCCGGCCTGTCCTACTGTCATGCTTTTGTCGCTGTACACCTCTCTTGGGTGTGCTTGTATTAACCAGTAATGAAAGCCGGCACGAATTTCTGGCTCACGGCCGGACTCCTCCTCTACAGCATCGTAGAGCTTGGAGATGGGATCCGTCGACAGGAAACTGGAGCGCAGCCGGCGCCCGCTAGGGAGACGGATGAGGACTTCGATATTGCACACTTCAAAGCCGCTTTCCGCTTCGGGGGCCTCGCCCCTCACTGCTTCAGCTGAAGCTGCATTGCTTTCGTTGCTAGGGACTTGTGCATCAGCTGTGCACACCTCTGGAGCTTCCGTTTGTGGCGCGGCGCATGTGTCCCCGGCTAGATCTGCTGAATCTAATGCCGAGGTTGACAGCTGAGGCTGTGCACTTCTCAGGTTCGCATCTGTCTGGGGTATGTCTGAGTGGACCGGCCGTGCCAGCTGCGACTGCAAGGGCACCGCCTCTACACGTGGAGGAGGCCCTGGTGGCAAGTAGTCGTCGGCTTGGGGTACTGGTGTGAGGTCCAACTGTGCCTCCATCCTGGGTGAAGGAAAGATTTCGTTATAGGACACACCACCATGCGGCCGGAACACCAGGCCGTGAATGTGCCAACAGCAAGCAGCCGTAAAGACATGGGCACTGGAGACCAGTATCACCGCCAGCGGACGCAAATATCCCAGCACTCCTGACGGGGAAAGCGCTACAGTAAACAAATGAAGCCCGGTGGAACGAAGCTAAAACAATGATAAACAATGCCTCCCTGCAATGTCTTCGAACCCATGCTTGGGCATGGCCAAGGGCACCCCCCCCACGATAATATCCACAAAATGGCATGGCATCCCTGTCGCGGATAGCATTCAGCCGCATATGTCAGGTACGACTTTGCCAGCACAACTAACAACAGCTGCAAGAAGAAATGCAAGCCGTAATGCTAATACAGTCAGGTACAGCAGAAGCGCACAACCACCTCCTCACAACACCAAGGAGTAAAAACGCTAGTCTTCATTATTTAACACCGGCAACAAGAACCTGAAGACTGGCAGTGAACAACTGCCACAACTATTATCGACCGCCCAGATGTCCATCCAACCTGTGGAGTGCGACGGCATGGACACAACGAGTCCCAGCAGGCCAAGGAGACCTGGAGCTCTGCGAAAATCCAACTGTCATCTTCAAGGGAAATCATTCCCTTGAAGATGACAGTCGGCTATTCCCAATTTGGGAATCATGCAAGGAATCTTCACGCTGTTCACAGTGATATCAACGACTGGTCAGGTTCTTATGGTCTGAAAGGGAGGCTGATTTGATCTGATCACAACATGGCCTGTGTTCAACCATACGACTGAAGGCTCGGTATACTTACTCTCCGAAAAATTCACCCCGAGGAAAATATAACGCCACCAGCAATTGCGGTTCTATCAACATCCCGGTTTCACTCTGTCGCTCCTGCTTTAGAACTGCAATCTCATGAAGCCGCTGTACGACTGCAATCTCATCAAGTGCGGGGTCGGGCCAACCAAGGAACTTAGGCACCGCAGTGAAGCAATGAATCAAGACAACACTCTTGACGGATCATCTTACTGCAAACACAAGCCTGGCATCAGCAGGCTTTAGCAAATACACACGGTACCGAACCGCAGCCGCCAAACGACCTCAGATTCAAGCCCAGTCGCTTGCAAGGCATGAAGTTCCCAGAAGCGGCAGCAGGTATGTCCAACCATCGCTCCAAGCCCATTTGGCCCAGTCCTGATGGTCAGTGCAATCCAAAAATCCAGACAGTTTGGGCATGTTTGGGCTATCGCACTCCGGCTTCACGACCAAAAGTGGTGCCAGTCTCCCGACCATGTTACCGGCTTTACGCTCCCTTGGTAAATCGAGCGATGGTCTCCATGCTAGCACTTTTTGCCAATCCTTCCTACCCGGGCCTCGCTCAATAAATCTGTCGCAGAAATAGACGCCATAGGGCTTTGCGCCACACAGGGGTTCACCCGTTGATTGCACCAGAATCCCTGCTCAGAACCTCTTTTGCCCTTTGGGCCGGGCCACGAGTGTGTCCAGCGCTTGCGCCATAGGCCGCCCCAAGCAATGAAGGAAGGGATCCTGAGAATCGCAGGATGCTCCTACACCCACTGCGACGACCCACGAATGCTCCGACCGTGGCTCCTGTTGAAGCAGCAAGGATCCCAGCAAAGCCGCAGCCAAGCCTGAGTTCCAGCCGCAAATGCAGACCAAAGCTCAAGGAGATCCTAGAGGAGACTTGTCCTGAAGTCCGAGACCCGAGCGCAACTCTTGGACTACACTGGGCCCTTCGAGTTTCAGATACCTTTAGACTGCACCGACTGCAGCCATGAAGCTCAGCATGCCCAGCACATACAGTCCTGCAAGCTCTGGGTTCTGGGTTCGGCTGGTCAGAAGATCTGGAAACATCAGGTATTGTGTTTGGTGAACATGTGACCAGCACTGCCGACACCTCAGAGTCTTGACTTGCGAGTCTCCTGAGAAAGACAGGAGCACAAAGCCGCCGTAGAAAGCGAAGTCGCAAAGGCGAAGGATGGCAAGGTAACTTCGGACCTGCAAGCACACATCACGCCAAGCCCCTGTGAGCTTCGAGAGTCATAATGCAAATTAAACAGATTAAATATATGAACTAGTCGGGATTACGTGGTTCCGTCTTGCAAACTCAGGAACAGTCTCTGTACTCAAGATCAGATTCGACGATGGCTGCGAGCTGCGCGTATCCGCTGCGTGTATAGTAATCGCTGAAGTGCTAGTTTGCGAACAGGATTGCAAACATGTCCATCATGCATGTGATTGATCAGTCATGAGGTGGGAACTCCATGGTGCAAGCTGAATTCGAACCCCGCCTCCTTAGCATGCGGACGCATAGGAGCCTCTCCCCGGCCATGTGATGGCATCTCCCGTTCCAGCAGAGACATACCGGCTATGCGCAGTTGAAGTTGTAGCTTACACAAAGGAAGTCGAAAATTAAGCGTGAAACCTAGGACCTACGACGCAGAAACTACGGTGAGAGATGGGCCTGAGCTAGCCAACAACTAGGCTCACGCACGTGCTAGTCAAGCTGATACTTGCTGTCTGCTAGTCTCAGACTTTGCTCCGCACATAGCCGCAAGCCTATGATCTACAACTCCATCTTGCACGGATTACATATGACATCCTTGAAACTGCCACTTGCAGGCTCGGGCCGGAGCAGCGACGGCACTCTTGCTTGCGCTCCCTCGAGACTATGTCGGGCTGTTCTGCAAGTGAGAGCTGCAAGGACCCCTCTCTGAAAGCAGGGCTCAATTGCCTCCGTTGCCTGCGGGATGGCAGTGACCTTGCCCTCGCCGTTGAACCGCCACCCGTGGTAAGAGCCTTAAAACGCCGGATGCACACGAGCGCAATTTTAGACGGCGCTTGCTGGTCCGAGAACCCGCGGCCAAAAGTTGAAACATGTTCCATTCCCAGCAATTGGGGGTGTGGGGGTTGCACGAGCAGAGCCGGGGCGCTCAAGGACAGCAAGAGTCGAGTGGTTCTATTGGAGTCAAAGTTGTACTTCCGCACGTTGGACATGTTGCCGTGGAATGTAGGGCTTCTTATGCTACTCTGGTTTGCTTCAGCACGATATTCCTGCTTGGGTGCAAGATTTTTCTTGAGGCTTTGGGGTTTTGCGCTCACACTTGGAGGGGTTCAAGGTTGAAGTGCTTTTTGTATCGCTTCAGGATTCTTTTTGTTGACACTCTTTTCCGTCTGCGTTGCCCTTTGGTCGGTAGTAGTCGGAATGCCTATCAGGCAGTGTTGCCTTGCCTGGGTCAGAGGTTGTTTTCGAATGCTTTTTAGGCAGTTGGTGATGTGAAACCCACAGCGGATCCGTGTTCATCAGAGTCATCAGAGGATTTTGGATGGGAAATGCCCTGCGACTGCGACGACATACCGCGTTCCGAGAGGCACATCAAAGTGCCGTCTTTCTCGATGCGGCCCTCACCTCGGGTTGCGACTTGATAGCATGTGGACTGTTGATGGCAAATCATGGCAAATTGCTGGACCCCCTGCAAGTCCATCGAAGGCCCTCCTTGACTCATACCCCGAACTGTAAACTGCAGCAGGAGCTCTCAGCGGCACAGCTCGGTGTGGGCAACGATCCTGGCCAGGGCGCACGGAATGCCCGAAGAGAGAGCGAGAGAGAGAGAGAGAGAGATAGAGACAGAGATAGAGACAGAGATAGAGACAGAGATAGAGATAGAGACAGAGAGAGAGAGAGAGAAAGAAAGAAAGATATGTACATGTATATGTATATATACATATTACATATACATACAGCAGTATATTCCTCCTTGCAGCCAAAGCTGCGCAAACGACCTGAACAGGTCCAGCTTAGCAAGTTCGTTCACCTTACGTCCTAACTGGTGCCACATACCACCAAAGGATCAAAATCCTGACGATTGCCTGGGCGAGTGGTGAGAATTCAACGAATGCCTGAGTCGAGTCCGTTTCGGGGACTCGTCGCACTGCGTGGATGCCTACGTTCAAGATCAATAATACACGTGTCTGTGCATAGTATATATATATATATATATACATATATTTATAATACGGAAAGAGAGAGAGAGAGAGGGAGAGAGAGAGAGAGAGATAGAGAGAGAGAGAGAGATAGAGATAGAGAGAGAGAGAGACCGTCTCCGACAGGCGACGATGTAGCAACCGGAATTCTTCAACATCCTCACTGCATCCACCAAGAGCGACTTCACGAATCACTACTACATACAGTACGTCTTTGAGCCACTGCGAAAATTTTTTGCTTCCGGGCGATACTCGTGTTGGAGCCAGCCTCGAAGACTCGCCACTCTCCATCGCCGTCGACCCAAGCGACAAGATCCTCGCCTGAGGTCAATCTACACTGTTAGCCAGAGTTGTGATGTTCGTTGCACCACGCGACCCTTGAAACTCGCTCTTGACCTACGCTGGAAACGTTGCATCATGGAGGGGTGAAGATGAAGATGAGTTTGGGCCTCTGGCAAGCCTGAAGGGGCAACCCTCAAAGTGAGATATTTTCTCTCCTAAGTGTTCCTGGATATCCAGGCGAAGCAAATTCCACCCCCAAAGCTTGCTGCCTTCCCCATTGCCTTTCAGATTCCAATAGCAGATTCATTGGTAACTACACACCACCTGCCCAAAGTGGGGTCGGCAGCCAGGAACCAACAGAAGCTTCCGACTTCCTGATGCCGTCAGAGGCCCAAGCCCAGAAGCTGCAGCTTGGTCGGACGTGTCCCGTCCTGGCGCAGATTTCATCTCGTGCTCGTCGATGAGGTGACTCACCAAACATGCGGTCCACTTTCATTACGATAGCGAGAGACCAAAATAGGCGTAGTTCATCACGTGATTCCGCTACTGTGTTCGAGCTGATGACCTACCACAGCCGAAAGGGTTTCAGATCGGGAGACTAGTGACCAGGAATTACGCCTGTTCTGAGAATTCGTTTCTACTGCACTGCTGCTGTTGCTACATCTACTGCTGCGACATCCACGACAACGACGACTGCAACAAAAAGCACAACCACAAGCCACATCCACTCCGGCGACGACAAATACTTACACCGCGGGTCCAAATCTTCGATGACAGCCATCGGGTACCATGCCTTCAGGAGGCCAGGGCCGGTGGCGGCAGGAAGTTGGCTCTAAAAAGCTTCCTTCAGGCGCGGCCAGGCTGTACTTATAGCCTGGCCCGGTGGAACTTCTCAGGGTTCAGAGCTCAGAACGGCAGATGCAGCATACTCAGGATACTTGCCGGTACAGGCCTTCTGCCAGACGAATTTCTCGCCCCAAGAATCAGTTTTCACATCCTCCTGGCACGCTCGGTGCGAATCAGGGGCTACCGGTAAGCTTACGTGCCGTTGGGTGTACCACGCACGTTAATGGCTGACTCAATCCTGGCATAGCTCAGTGGAGACTCGTCGAGGTCAAATTGACAGATCGCTCAGAAACTTGCCATACAGTACCAGCCTCGGGGTTGAGAGTCGTGGCTGGCGGCCCTTGCCGTCGGCGAGCCTTCGATGCCTTCCGCAGGGCAGCAGCAAACGATGGCAGATGGCTGAGACAACAAGTCTGACTTGCTGAGGTCATGATCATCATCGAATTTGTCGCCACCATTAAGAACTTCTTAGGGTTGACGGGGTAATCACGAAATCACAAAAGCACCTGAAGCCAAGATCGCCAGCAAATACCATCAACATATCATCACAATCACCGTTCCCATAAGCTGATCTGAGGCTCGATCTCGACATATACACACACGCGCACACAAACGCAGGATCTCCCACGAACCGCACGGAGAAAGCAACGACGTTGTTGGTTCAACGGCAGGTGCGGCCGAAAAACACACACGGCCATGGGAACCTGTGCGTACGCATTTTGGCTGTTGCGTACAGTACCCCAATGGTAGACCAAAGTTACGGTATAGCACTCAGGACTCGCTAGTATCAGTTACTTATTCCAACTTAATCCGAAGCGCAAACTGTCAGTAAAGTTTGAAATTTTTGGGCTGAGTAGTAACGAAATGGCATCATGCCCAAACGCTCACGGTTTCCACACCACCGTAGGCCTTGGAGCGCTGCGCCCCACGGTACGCGGCGGTGGCGCCGAGAAGAGTTCCGACAGCCAAAGCTGCTGGTGCTAGCGCCTTGCTTGTGCCGGGGATGGCACGCTGTCACTCTCGAAGTAGCCGGAAGACACTGAGAGGGGCTACATGCGTGACCTATTGCAACAAGCAGTTCAAACAGGCGATCAAAACTGCGCATGGTGAGATGTGCTGCCCACAGTTTCAGGAGCACCCCGCTCGGGAGGGCACACTGACTGCTGCAAAGGGGGGTGAAATGTTGCCAATGGCTTAGGGATACAGCAAGTAACTAAACCGGAGTGGATGGCGCTGACAGTTTGCTGCATAAATACCCGTAGACAGCTGCATTGAAGATATGCACAGGACACCTATATGCACCCATGGAAGGAGAACAGCCGGGCAGGCGTACGACCTCCTGGAGTGCTTCGTGTTCATGCTCAGCATTAATGTGTGGCCTGAAAATGGTGTGGCCTGACAAAGGGTTAGGATCTTGTAGGACACTTTGGAGGGTTTTTATAAGGTTTGGGATAGTACGGTCCCTATACCCGGACCTAAACCCTAAGCCGGAGCGGAGGAAGCTGAAGCTCAACCACGGAACATTGCCAACCGGCTTGCTCGCCACTCGGCTGCTGGCGGACCTCTCCAAGCTCCGCGAAGTCGCAACGCTTCGTTGCACCGGAGCCGCAGGTGAAAGGAAGGCGGCGTCTAGAGCTTGCATAGCTGCAAGGGGCAGCTGGGAAAACAGTGGGAGATGCTGCAACAGCTGCGTGGCGGCATCATACATCTTTGAGAGGTGTCTGTTGCCTCCTGGAAGAAGCTGAACAAACATATGCTACACCTCCGCTTGCCCAAAATGGAACAACCCGAACCTACCAGCAAGACATCATGTCATGTCGGCTATGGTGGCGTGGATGCCACTAGTTCAGCAGCCCACCCCAAACCAGAGTCCGAACTTCTCTTTTTTTCTCACAAACCAGTATTGTCGGCAGAATGTAGGTGTAGACTCTGTAGACACCGCGTGCAGCTTATGCAAAGCATCGGCCTTAGCGACGGCATGGCGCAAGGTGGAATGAGACAGGGCATGTTGTCCAGCTTCTCAGATTTCCGATTGGCTCGTCCCAAACACTCAAAGTCCGCCAGACTGAACGTTCGTGAGTTCCGGCAGCATACGGCCAATTCCGCAGCATCGTAAACGCATATAGCAGTAGCTTGGTCAGGCAAACGGACGGGGCCAGCAGTAGATGTCCCTTGTCGTAGCCATTCTTCAACTGGCAATCGGGCGATCCAGCGCAAGCTGAATAGCCCACATTTCTCGCTATGGGCTGTGGGATACCTCCGCTCGCCACTAAACCGTTCTACTCCACCTTGCACATGCTGTTGGCTTGCATCGGGCTGCACCAACTTCCTTCGCGATGTTCTGCTCGCAACTTCTTGTGCAATTGCCAGGCGCTCTTGTGCTTGCGATGTCGCCATCAGCCGGAAAGCATCCTGCTTCTCTTTGTCATCGAAACTAGGATGCAGCAATGCAGCAAAGCACGGACACCTCGGCATCTCATGTCATGTTGGAAACCATCCCAACTCAAGGCTGCCGAAAGGGACAAACCCTGGAGCCACATTCACATGCAAAGTTTCCAGCAGGCTCACGTCTTTCGTGCAACGAACGATAGCAGCTAGGATGCAGAGTCATCGCACCAGCAGCCATCGGCATCCTGATGGGCAAATGTTGTTGAGTCACCGTCACGGTGGTTGGGGGCCGGGCCCGCGTCACAACCCAGCTGCAGGCACCGCAGCTCGACATGTCTACGCAGCACATGGAGGGAGAGACAGGCAATGAGACGAGACACAAAACAAGCACTTCCGCTGCTTTGTCCCAGCGCCAGCTACTGTCAAACGGCCCTCAGCATGTCCTTACACGACATCACAAGGTTCGCAGCGCTTTCCAAAAGAGCAAAATCCAAGGAAGGGCTGCATCAAGCCGTCTCTGCTTTAGCAGCCTCAGAATCGACAAACCTCTGGAAGTCATCTAGCACGACCGGGTCGAACTGACTATCACGACGTTGTCAATGTGATTTTCCCATGTCCGAACTCCGACTAAACGCCTGATAAAGTATGCTGCGACGCAATGTGAATGAAAACATGATGTCACAACGCTCACCAAATCATACAGTTGTCTTTGCACGCCCAGCTTTTCAGGCATGCATGCCCTGTGCAGATGGAAGGACAAGCTCCTCGATTCTCCGCCGTCTTTCCATTGGCTTTGTGCTTGATTCGGCTATCTCACTCAGCAAAGCCTACAATCCGAGAAGCGATGTCTGCATCTGTCATCAAATACGAGTCTACCGGCTTGGTCTTCACAGCTTTCGCATATACATCCGCAACTTTGCTGCAAGTCGTACTGCGCTTTGGCGGATCGTGTCTGCCCTTGGTGTGGTAAGGCCACAGAAACAGCACCTTGCCTTTGAAACCTTTTACGTTGTTGCCCACTCCCGAGCCATCTAAGCTTTTCGGGAATGTTCCATCGAAAAACCACAGCCAAGGCCCCATGTACTCTTGCAGGGCAAAGTTAGGATCTTTCTTCATTTTGGCTTTATACTGGGCTTCATCCATCTTGTTCAACCTGTTTTCCAGCACCAAGTTGCCCGATCGTTTTGGATGTACCATTTTGAACCTAACCGCCCGCACTGCACCCCAGTCTCGACCGTAGAAAACAGGCTTGGCCAAGCCTAGCCAGTCGAGAAGTTCCAAAAGGATCGCCACATCCGAGTCCAACTGTTTCTCAGCAGTTCCAGGCAATTTGGGTGCCAATACCTGACGGTTGATGTCCCTCAATGCGGTAATGAGGCCTTCCAGCTGTTCCAACTCGGTGCCTAAACCGCCCAGAAGAATCACGGTTTCTTCAGCAGCTGACTGAAAGGCGCCGCAAATTTCGATGCTACCCGCCGTCAAAGCAACAGATCCTCTGCCACCAGAGAGGCGCAGTTCATGTGCCGCTTCCCCAATCTTCGCTTTCTCCTGATCTGCTCTGTCCTGCGCCTCTTTCTGTTCCACCTTGTTTTTCACATGTGACGCCTGCATGGCGAAGCGAAGGGTGCTGACGCTCTCACTGAGGGAGTCGGCTGCTTGAGTCACGCAAGCAATGAGGGCAGTCTTACTGTTGCCGCCCAACCCTGATTTCAGCAGCATCGTCAAAGGTGACGCGTTGTAGGGAATGAAAGCCTTTGTCTGATTGATGTCGGCTTCAATCAGAGACATGACCACTCGTCCCAAAGCGGTCAGAGACAAGTTTACATTCGTTGCCTCTGTAAAGCCCTCGCCAGTGACTCCACTCCTTGCTACACGCTCGCTGCCAGCCAAGTCAACAATGAACAGGGACGAGAAAACATCACCGCCGTCACCTTCTTTCAGTCGCAACATCAATATGGCATGGCTACGGCTGGAAACTTCGTTCATATCCTGTGCTCTCGTAGCACGCCGCGTTGCTCCCTTGGCGACAGCTTGGAGAATCTCAGAAGCAGATGTGGCTTTGTGGCTTGATAGACCCAGCAGCTCTACTCCATCTTTGCCCTCGACGAGTTTCCCAAGCGCTGAATCATCGGCCAACAAATCCTTGAAGTCATCCAAGTACAGCTGCACGTATTCGTAGTGCAGTTCTTTATCTGCTGGCAACCTCTCAAAGATGTCTGAGAGACTCCTGGCAACGATTCCAGGATCCTCCGCGGGACCAAAGATGGTGTAGGTCTTTCCGGTGCCGGTCTGCCCATAAGCAAAAATTGTGACATTTGTCCCGGCCAAGAAATCTTGGACAAAAGGCTTCGCCGTGGAATTGTAAACGGCTTCTTGGCTCATGGACTGCTCCAACACACGATTGAATACATAACTACCCTTCAAGCTGGCATCACCAGCTTGCACGACGATCCGCTGCGGAGGAGGTTCTCGCGGAAAGTCTGTGTCGGAGACCGCCAGGCAATTCTCCGACCCCGCTTTCACTTCTCTTTCCAAAAGCGGTCTGATCCGAATGAAAACCGAAAACGTGTCGTTGATTTCGCCCATTTCGATTGAAGTCATCTCCGGCCCCTGAAGAGCTATCTTGACTGCCACCTTCCGAGGGGGTGCGGCTACGTAGTCAAAGAGCTCGCGAAAGCAATCTGCTGAAGCTCGAAAAACTAAAGCATGACCAGCCTTTGCCAGAGCAGTTTTCTCCAAGTTGCCGGTCCACCACGTGCCATCCCTCATACTCTTAATTGGAGTCGGCCCACCTGCATCTTGGACTTTCCAAAGGACAAAAGTGCCCAACAACCCCATCGTGCTTGGATCCAGCAGCAGTTGCGAAAGTTGGTTCAAACCTGAAAGCATCCAAGGAGGTTGAGCCGGATAAAACTTCTCACAGCCACAAAGCATGATGTCAGCTCCTCGTGATTCGAGGCTTTCCCGGAGTCCCTTCGGGACTTCTCCGATCTGCACGTTCAGAAGCACATGATGCGCCGCAAATGGGGTACTGTCTTGCGCATAAGCACGCAAGAATGCACAGGCACCAATACCCTCTGCAAAAACTGAAACACAGCCATCAGGTATCCTGAGGCATTCCATGAGCCGTAGTAGCAGCTCTCCATCCAGATCAGACCAATCTTTGCTGCCCGGTCTGCCACTTGCACGGCCAAAGCCTGGAAGATCCAGAGCCACAACGTGGAATCCGTTCTCTGTCATAGGTAACCAGAAGTGGCTCCACAAGGCCACGCAGCGATCATCTCCAAAGCCGTGAAGACACAGAGCCACACGAGATTCTGAAGCTTCTGCTTCAGGCGCTTGGAGACATCGAAGGGGCATGGTGTACTCCGTGCCTCCTAGGCAAGTCTTCGCCACGTAGCCGACCATTCGAGAGAATAGCAGCTTCTCGTCCTCGCTGAATGTATCGGCCCGGCCGAAGAAGGCATCCGCATCCTCCATGTCCTGTGGCTCCAGGAACATTCGCTCCGTCGACGCCGGAACATGGACTTGGACTCCATGGGCCGGGGCGTTCAGCGATGCGCCAGAACCCATGGAGGCTGTTTCCACAATCAACCGACTATGGCAAGTACGCCGTACGGCAAAAACAGACTTGATTGTGACTGTTTTGCCAGCCCTGTAAACTCTTACACGGTCTATACAGCACATGTCCGCCGGTACTGTCTTGAATGCTCCAGGAGCATAAGCCTTCAGCACTTGCGTCGCCTTCAATTCCGTTGAAAAGCTCTGCAGTCTCTACAGACTCTGAAGCCCGAAGACGCGGCCTCACGGGTGGCGGTGACTCTGGATCCAGTGAAAGAAATGCCTTGGAGAAGTCGCGGGAACTCCTAGACTCTCAGACTCAAGTAGAACCTGGGGCAAAGCACTGGTGTCTCAAGGCAAGCAAGAAGCACGATCAAGATGGCGTTTACACTCGCATCCACACCCGGAGCTCACCCTCACAGCGCTTCGAATGTCCCCAGTGATTGGAAAGGTCATGGTGCTGAACTGGTCGCCGCTGTTGTTGCAGGATGCGCGCTCGCAGTCCTCGCGTGCTTTCGGGAGTTCAGCCACGTGTCCGAAAGCCGCTGGCAGAGAAGAAGTGCCATCCTTGTTATTCCTATGCTCCTGATCCAGCAATGGTTGCTAACTATGAGTGGTTGAAAGCCTCAACACACGGCAGGCATCGAACGCTGACCCTCCCTCAGCCTATCAAGCTACCGACGGCAAATCAAACCAGCAGGCCGGACATGGCACACGCAGGAAGCTCTGTCAAATTGCCATTCGGCCTGGATGGCACCAGACACCTCCACAGACTTGGAAAAGATGCCTCCGCACTTGCAGCTGGCACCTGGCAAGCAAGGTGGGCAAAGCAAAGTTACAGATGCTAAAGCTTGGCAATGCTTGGCATAGTGGCCTGGGGTACATTACCCACGTCGGAAGAACCAAGCTGACACAGTTTGGAGCAACTTGGGACGGCACCAATCTGTACTTGCACCACTTGGCAGCTCTTGGGCTCCTTGGGTGTTGCTGGTGTGGTGGTTGTGGTCGCGCTCCTGCGGGTGTTCGGAAGGACGCTGGGATTCGGGATGATTCGGGGCTTGCAGGCGGCGTAGGCATGTCCCGGCGAAATGTACGGTAACTTTGCTCAGAAGGAAGATAAATGTGGACCGCCTTTTGTATATGCCTTCGACCGCAAGCCAAAAACTTCATCCCGAGTTCCCTGCAATTCCCCAGCCCGCCTGTACTTCAACTTGGGACAATCGCGCCCATGCTCCTTCTGGGTGGGCTTGTGGTGGGCTTTCACCAGGTTGCCTCAGCTCCGGCGTTGCATAGCTGGCACCGGAGACCTGCCTGCAGACTCGACACTCCTTCCAGCTGAGCGTTGCATAGCCACCATAAGCCCAGGCACAGTCGAACTTGTAGGGGCAATGGCTCCCTGTCTGATAGTTCCAAATGCCTTGAATGCTCGAAGAGTCAGGACGAAAAATTACTCGCACCAAGTACACAGCTTTGCACCGGCATCGTCTCTGCTGCTCAGATCTGACCAGTGCCCTAACGACTTTAGACTTGCACAAGAGCAGAACATTGTAACCAAAGTCGGCCCGAGGAGCACTGGTCAATCTGCCGCATCTTCAGCCCCTGCGGCTGTTCCTAAGTAACGTACAGGTTGGGTTCTAGCTAGGTAGAATGTATTCGGCGAAACGAAGGCACCCCGGCACAACAGACAAAATCGAAGAGACTGCAGAAAGTAAGAGCCTCCATCTTCTAACAATTGAAGATCTACATACTAACCTGAGCCTGGCACGGCACAGAGGAGCATTAGCAACACAACAGCCGTGACCGAGCGACTACACACATGCTACAGCAATCGCACGAAGAGCACTGGAGACCTGAAGCAGCCTCATGGCCCGGGCTATTCGATTGCGCTTCCCATCAAGACCATTCCAACTCTGGCACCCGAGGATCAAACAGCCGGCCAGCCGCAGTAAGAAAGAGTGCATGGAAGTGTGCCAGTGTGATCAGGCCATGGCTCGAAAGCAGGCACTTCCGCAGCATTCAGTGCTTTCTTGGCCTGTGGGACAGAAAGGCGGCTTGTTCGTCGTGCTGCTGGCTGGGGCAGCTGTGGCAAGTTTGTGAAAAGCCTAAATTTCCCGAAATCCTATGACCCTAGGCACAAGAAGCAAGGTTAAGCACCATAAGCACGGCTGTGCATCGTCACGGCCTGCTTCTGGGGCTTTTCATGGAAGCTTTCTTGCGCAAATGAGCTGCACGAGTTTGGTGCGGCCTTCTCGCTCCGATGGTAGTAGAGCGTGTGGAAGTATCCCTGACCACCTTGCTGACAGGGCGGCGGGTCACAAGAAGACTCCAAGCTCCAAATGCAACTCGTGAGCGAGAGAGGGGGAGAAATTACCTTTGCTTAGTAGGGAATGGAGGAATGGGGTACAATTATAACTGCTATTACTACCACTCTTCCATTCCCTACTAACCAAAGGTAAGGAGAGGGAGAGAGAGTCCGACATGGCCAGGCCACACTCTGCCCCCACAAAGTAGCCGCCAGCGGGCTTGAAACCTCCCCCGCCCCAGCCGCTGGTGCGGTTGAAGGTGATGTTCCAGGCAAAGAGCCTTCTTAGCAATCGAAGCACAGAACTACGTCAATCCTAACAGCCACTCTGAGCCCTTCAGCACTGAAGCCTAACAAAACAGCCCGCTTTCCTTCAGCAGACTTGGCTTGGCGCCTGGAATCAGCAGCTCTCCACCTCTTCCCGGCCAAGACACTCGGCGGCCCGAAGAAGTCGCCGGTCCGGCCGGAGCGCAAAGAAACCTTCCACACTGCGTGAGCACGTTTGCAAGATGAGCGATTGGCTCATGTGTGCGTGTGTGTCAGCCCTTCCTGCCCAAAAAATCGCGAGAAGATCGAAGTCTCCTTGCTCGAAATCGCGTGCGCATTGTTGAGGCATAGGGCTAGGGGTCGGCGAAAGCAACTGCATGTGCATCATCTCAATAGCTCCCAAGCACCCGGCCTGCATTGTGGACGATTACAGGCTGTTTTGCCGAAAAAGGTGCACAAGACTGCGCTCTACACAGGAGCGCAGTCAGTCAGTCACTTCTCTACGGCCATTGGCATTGCTGTCGATGATCAAGAAGTGAGTGTTCTCGCCAGCTGCGTCAACGCCAGGCTGACCGCACATGACGCGGCACAGCACCGCCAGTCATGCAGTCATGCCGCTGTCAGCATTTGTCGCCTTAAACTCGGCCTGCAAGCTTTCGGTGAATCGTGTCCATGGAAGTGCTGCACCCTTCTTCACATTGATGGCCTTGGCTCAATTCGGTGGTGGGTGACCGGGTCCACGCACACCACAGTACGCCTTCCTGCCGTACGCTTGCACCCGGTCACCCGCCACTGCCTGTCTAGTTCATCCGCCAGCAAGCGCCTACCGGCTGCAAGACCCAGGTCGTTCAAGTCTGATCCAAACTCGTTGTGCAAAAACCTGCACCTGTCGGCGGACGTACAGCCCCGCGAGGACTTAAAAACTTGCGCGGCCGATTCATCGGCGCCCATAGGTCTCCCTGCACCAAAGTGAACCGTGAGAGGGATCTCCACTGCGGGCACTATCCGGCGACACAGAGCCGCCTTGAATGCACGTAGCGGACATGGAATTCCCGCTTGTAAGATGGTCCGCGCTGGCACCCACTTGCTGCTTTGTAGACCAAGTCCATATACTGTTCAGATCAGTTTTCTTTCGAAAGCCGACACATACACCCCAGCAGCGAAGTGGCACTTGCATGAGGAGTCGTGGCTTTGCAGTCTCTTCCTCCTGCTCCGGATCCTTGTCACAGTTCCTCTTGAAAACAACATATTCGAGAAAGCACTGGTCAGCTTCGTACATCAACAGCCTCCGAAACACATGCGTGCCACCGGTGCTGTCGAACTCTCGAGCGGCACCTTTCTCCGCGGCGTTCGCATCAGATTTGGTACAGTTCAGCTTGACTGCAACAGCACGGCGAACTAAAACGGCAAAGTAGTATCTGCCTTGCTGACTCGCCCGGATATGCCCCTCCGTACAATGTGCCGGTGCTTGAGCCAGCGAGGTCTGAACGCGCTCTCGGCGACTGCCAAAGCTGCCAAGGCATGGCGCACCTGGCGCAGCTGCGTACCATGGAAAGCATCTACGCCTCGTTGATGCATCCACGGAAGCGAATGTGCCTGTCTCATTGTCTTGACAGGAAGGTCGAAGTCTTCGACACCACCTGGCAGCTAAGCCATTCTTGCCTCTTTCTGGTGAGGTAGCACGCACTCCCACAGCTTCCCGGACTCCACGAGAATGACAAACTGAACATTGAAAGATACTGGAAGTCCAGGATCTGCTCCGGGCTGGTTGCAGGGGTAGACTCCAGTCGCTTTGCCGCAAGTGCCCTTCGGGCATGGGCGGTCCGGTATCGCTTTTGTGACAGGGGGTTCTTCAAACGTCGCTTGGAAGCAACGATGCTCAGAATCCGAGCATAGAATGTGTCACGAAATGGGGGTGTCTGGTCTGCTGTCTTGTCTTGGTATGGTACCAAATCTCTGGGAATCCGTTAGCCATCGCAAACCGGGTTTGACGCGAGGCTGGCCGATGTGGTGGCCGGCTGCGAATCAGCTTTTTCGATCTGGTGCATCCCATGGGATACCTGTGCGGCTATGCAAACACACTAACACTTATCGGCCTTCGAAAGCCCTGCCTTTGGGTAAGCCAATGCTGTTGCACGTTTGGGCCCATGCTTGAGCCAGAGGGCTACCGCTCCCTCTCTGCCGCCCTTTGCATCTGCCATCTGTCCCTGCACTGTCTGGCCGCGAAGACTGGCCGCCAAGGAGCCGATATTGAGGGGCTCGCCGACGCCACCGGAAGTGCTGAGGAAATAGCCTTTGCTGAGACTGGGATCTGCACTAGCTTGGAGTTGTGTCACTGTGCAGCATTGCACGTCGCTGCACATGTAGGGGAGACTGCATAGTCATGTTTACTGATTTCGCGACATTGCACGTCTGTCAGCAGATGTTAGTGCCTGCAGACGCTATGGAAACACATATTACTACTCGCATGTCGAAAGTTCTCAACGCATTGCAATGTGCGGATACGACGGACAGGCGGTACGCGTAATCGTGGTATTGCTGCGCTGGGTGCCAAACGCTCTATTCATCTCCTCGTCACTCGTCTGCCTCTGGGAGACCTCTGCCGGTGCCGCAGCACTCTCAGCCCACGTGTCCTTCTCAAACCCAGTGCCAAAACAACAAGGGCTGTGATGCCCGTGCATCTCATTGACCGAGGCCCCAGGAAGGATCTCGTCTTCAGCCCACTCGCGTAAGTCCAAGATAGTCCAAGGAGCCCAGGGAAGCGCAACGGAGCACAGCTGAGACGGAACCTTTGTGCAACCATGTGTGGGGCCCGAAGAAGTCAACTTCCTGATGTTTTCCACCTAGTCGCCTAATACCGCCAGTCAACAACTTGGGGAACGTTCGGGAAGCAAAGTCGCAACCAACATCGGAGCCTGCAATAAGAAGCTTCATGGTGCTCAAGATCCTACAAAGTCTGCAGAGCAGGGCTCCGTGGAACTCCACATCCTGGTCGTAGAAGGCTACGGCATCGAAGGAGTCCAGGCCTGGATGCAGCTGCCAGGCTCTTTCAATCTAAAGCTATGAGTTAGGGTGCATCTATCTAGTGGAGCACGTTGGCAGTTTTGACTCCTCTTGTGTGCATGTATCCAGGAGGGTGGTTTCAGCACGCAGCTCCACGGCACGGGTGCTGATCCTTCACTTCTGCCAAAGATCCGGTGGTGTGAAGGCGGACCAAGTCTTGCGGCCCGCACCAGCCGTCCACTTTGCCTGATCATCTACCCTAACTCCGTTTTAGATCCTTGAGAAAGTTCTACACAGGAATGCCCCCGTGATTGGACAACTCAGCGCCTGGATGCCAATTGTCCGGCCACCAGTAGAGCTCAGGGGGAAGTTCCCAAGGCACTTTCACAACCTCCAGGCTCGAAAAATGAGAAGATGGATGAGCCAAGGTCTGAGGAAGCTCCGGCTTGGGGTAGTCAAACCTATGACCTATACATCCTATACCCTTGACTTAGCGAGGAAAGGGGGCAAGCAGACTCCGGCCAGCCTGGACTCTAAACTGCTTCAAGCGGCTCCTGGGACGCGACCAACCGGGACTGCTGCGGTCGCAATGGAAACTTGGTGGTGTCTCCCAATGGAGCCGAGGCTCCAATGAGTCTCGCGCAGCTTGCTCACGTGCGCGGTTGGTATCAACACCTGAGTTTGGCTGTGTGTCTAGGCCTGAAAGCAAACGACAAGCATCATTCTTTCATCAGTTTCTGATGTAACTGCGGCAGTGGCGTGAAATATGCCTCTCGGACAACCATTGCGACCCCTGCTCCTGCTACAGTTACTAGATTGATTACAAGGGCACACGCACCAACTTTTGAGCAACACCCGTCCAATTGCAATGGCTGTTCCTACAAATCACTGCCATGATGTCCATGATGCTGGCTGCTTGCTCGGTCATTCTGGCTGCAGCTGTTTTTCGTCACTACAGTGTTACAATTCCATTCCAGGTGATGGCCATGCATGCTACGACGACGACGTCCTAATCAACATTTTCACGAGCATCCGTGTCATCGTCAACATCATGATATGCGATGTCGGACTTGGGTTCCGATGGAAAACATAATTGTTACTATGGTTATTACTAAGAATTCATAACAATACTCATTACTACTAATGTAATGATACTACTACTAATAATAATACTAACTACTACCACAGCGACCAATTTTATCCAAGACAAACTGCACTCAGATGCACCGAGACACCACGATGTCCACCGTCGCCGTCGTTTTCTGCTGGATCCTCCGCGCACAAGTATCCGCACGGAGGGATGCTTGCACTATGGCACTATGTATCTCCGTAAGAGCGAGTCCTGTCCGCTTCTTCGCGCATGTTCTCGAGATACGGCAACCAGTTTTGACCTGGCTGCTGAACCTGCGCAGCGTTTGCAGGTAAAAAAGAAGTCTCCCGATGCTGCAGTTAAACGGGAAGGCACCGAATTCCATGAGCTTCGGCCGCCGACAAGACCGTCAAAGCAGAAAGCAAGCTTCGTTGCGTGGAGCACTATAGAGGGGGAAGAAGGGTCCTTCTGGGGCTCGTTCACGCTTGTTTCAAGGAGCTCTTCATTGTAGTCTTTCTCCCCCGAGCCTGGGCCAGGACGAAGGCATATTTTCCACCGGTGGGAGCTTGCGCTGCACCTCTGCAAAGCGCAGCTCAGCAGTAGCATCCAAGGTTGAACACCAATCAAAAAAATATTTTGGGGGCTCAGGTAGAAACACCCTCCTGCCCTTGCGTCCTTGGCACATGTCTCCACATCGAAGCACTCCCTCCACGCGTGGCCATCACTGCAGCAGCGTTCGCAGCCCTTTTTGGCACCGGCCGTCCTTGCTGTCACCCAAGGATTGTTGGCACCACTGCCGGCCAAAGCACACTCCAGACAGTGTCAGTCGAAGCGCAGTGGTGATTTTTTTGCCTCCTGGATGGCCTGGTACGCGAAGCAGGGAGAATGGCACATATACGCGTGAATTACGCGAAGCAGGGAGAATGGCCCATATACCCGTGAATTACTCCCTTACATTGTCAAGGGTTGGCAGGAATGGTTGATGTTCATCCACTCCAGCTTGCAGGACTTTCACAGTCCCAATTCAAACCGAAATTCTCTTTCGGCATACAGTGTCATTGACAGCAAGGTGCTCACTTTCAGGTATCAAGAAACAGTCTTCCTTTCAATCGTAGTGGCATGCAAATTTGGCAAAATGCCATTTGGACCATGCAGCCTCAACAAGGGCAGTGAGCCTGTTGTTGGCCCGGAAGATTCTCGACGACAAGGGCAAATTTGGCACTGCATGACGTTTGCAGGTCGCAGTCCAGACACGGCCCGATCATTGAAAGCTACCACACACAAAGCCAAGGAAAGTCCCTAGACCTGCCTAAGCATCAGACAGTGCATCTGCTGTCAGTTCCTCTCCCTTTACCAGAAAACACTACACAACTTACCAACCAATAAGATCAGGCTGACTGCAAACAAACGCAGTGGCATGGACATTACTCACCACGAGCTCTCTCGGTTCGCACTACCACAGCTACTCTAGAAGAGGGGCATTAGTTCGGCACCTGTTCCGTCACGGTGGCCACGCGTGCGCAAGTCTGTGTTGTGAAAGGAATCTTTCAGTGCTCACGCGGGTGGCTGTCCATCACAAGGCAGCAAGCTGCGGTGGCTTGTGCTTGCATGGCAGTCCAGGAGGCTTGTTGCTAAAGGGAGGTCGAGCTTCAAAACACTCAATGACGGACAGACCCTCGACCTGAGCTCAGTCTGGGGTCTAGACTCTGCGTTGGTCTTGAGCCAGTCGGAAGCTACAAGTAGTTCACAGTGAAACAATGCGTGAAACAGTGTGTAACACATGGGTCAAAGTGAAATTGGCATGTGCTCAATGTGCATTGGTCGAACTTCCCACGTTCACATTCGGGACGGTCTTTCCGGTACGGAAATTCACCACAAAAGTGTCCACAGAACTCCAACGAACATTGGAAGTTGCGATCCCATTGCCACAGAACTGAAATTTCCCGTGGTCAGTGAGGGCGAGGTAGTCGTAGTCATCGAGGTAGTCGTAGTCGTTGTAGTGGTTGTGGTGGTTGTAATTGGAGGGCACAGCTCTGAGGGTGTTGTTGTATTTGTCATAGCCACACCCGAAGTCAACTGGCTGCTCACGGAACTCGAGTCTCCACCCCGATCTGAATCACCCCAAGTCACCACACTCCCATCCGACTTCTTTGCCGCAAAGGCCTCACTATTGGAGTAGATGGTGTCGACGCCAGAGGTCAAGTGGCTGCTGACAGAACTTGAGTCCCCGCCACTGCTTGCAGAACCCCAAGTCACCACACTCCCATCCGATCTCTTTGCAGCCAGGGCCCACCCGGTGGAGTAGATGGCGTCGACGCCACATGCGAAGTAGCTGCTGACAGAACTCGAGTCCCCACCATACTTTGAACGACCCCAGGTCACAACACTCCCGTCCGATTTGATTGCAGCGAAAACATTGGAATTAGAGTAGATAGTGCCGACACCAGAGGTCAAGTGGCTTACAGAAACCGAGTCCCCACCAGACTCTGCACGACCCCAAGTCACCACACGGCCATCCGATTTCTTTGCAGCGAAAGCAAACGAGGTGGAGTAGATAATGTCGACACCAGAGGTCAATTGGCTGCTGACAGAACTCGAGTCCCCACCCCAATCTGAAGAACCCCAGGTCACCACACTGCCATCCAATTTCTTTGCAGCGAATGCAAAGAGGGTGGAGTAGATGGTGTCGACACCGCTGACAGAACTCGAGGCTCCGCCACTGCTAGCAGAACCCCAAGTCACCACACTCCCATCCGACTTCTTTGCAGCGAAGGCCGAAGCGGTAGAGTAGATCATGTCGACACCAGAGGTCAATTGGCTGCTGACAGAACTCGAGTCCCCGCCGCAACAGGAAGAACCCCAAGTCACGACACTGCCATCCGATTTCCTTGCAGCAAAGGCCGAATCGGTGGAATAGATTGTGTCGACACCAGAGGTCAAACGGCTGCTGACAGAACTCGAGTCCCCACCGTGCCGTGAATCACCCCAAGTAGCCACACTCCCATCCGATTTCTTTGCAGCAAAGGCCCAGGCGTTGTCACTGGCAAAACACCAGTGACACTGGAAGCTTGAAGATCCGACGGATGCAATCGCTGAGCGATTGCATCCGAGCGGCTCGGCTCGCTTTTCACACACTGCTCTGAGAGCTGCAGGGTCGGGCTCTGAAGAGCCGCACAAAAGCCTATGGCTCGTGAGGATAGCACTGCGTGCTTCGTGAAATCAGTAGCACAATACGTTTGGGCCAAAGGAGCTCCTGCGCAGCTGAAACATACAAAAGCCTGTGATGGAGTGTAACATGCCGAGGCGTTACCTGCGACACACCCCAAAGACTATACACGTAAGATCAGGCTTGCGTGCTGGTGACATTCGGCTGTACATCAGAAGGATCCAAACGTTGGTTGCCATCCAGAACTCGACGCCGTTTAGCACTCATGAAGGCACCCGGATGGCGCAGTCGCCAACGTCCTTGGAGCAAGAACTTCTTCAGCACGTCCTGCTTCGCAGACTTCGTCAGTCCATCTGCCAACTGGTGGTCGGAGTCACACCAGTTGAGGATCGTTCCTTGGCTCTGCAGGTTCTCACTGATGCCCATCAGCTCCAATGACGTGTACTTGTCTTTCACATTGAAGGAAGCCATGCCCGGATCGGCCTTCATCAAGGTGTCATACACGCCCCGAGCATCGATGATCAAATGACCGGGCACCTGAGACGTGCCTGCCGCAGGATTGTTCACATCAACCTTGCCACCGTTCAATTCGAACCAAGCCAGGCGTGCATACATGAGTTCTTGTTCACAGTTGCTCAGAGCTTGCGCCTCAGCTGACAAGGAGCTTCTCGCAACCCTCGGTAGCTTATAGCTGCGCCAGCTGATCACATTGATCTTGCCTTGGCCCAGCTCCATGGATTTGGGACTCATCATCCCGACCAACAGTCCGCCTGTGCTGGTGCCGTCAGGCCGATTAGCCAGAGAGGCATCCGACCAGGCCACGAACGTTGCAGTCTTGGGGTCAAAGTCTCCCAGGTTCTGAACCGAGATGGAGATGTGCTTGGCGTTATGAATCTCCCGCACCAATTTGTTGATCTGGTCCACACAGGAACTTGAACGGGAGGACAGTAGAGTCTGAAGGTAGCTCAGCTTCGCGGCATGATGTGGGGCGGACTGGGTCACGCGCCACTGCGCAGATCCGAGGATCGCCTTGGCCTGCCGGACCTGGTTCTCGGTCATGGTTTCTCCCGGACCCGCAGGATCCATCTGAACCAGATCAGCACAGAACCCCGAGTGGTCCAACGTCATGGATCCGTCCTCGTGCTGCAGGATCCGAATGCCGCAATGGACGAAATCTCCCTGCTGCCAGGGTGCCCAGCTGTATGCCGCCTTGAAGGCAGCAATGAAACGAAGCCAATTGGCATCCGTAGCACTACCCATAATCAGGAAGTCGTCGACGTGGCTTGCGAGAGCACCGGCCACCTCGACGTGGCTTGCGAGAGCACCGGCCACCTCGCCATCAACTCCCAGTACAATCCATGCACAGGGGTCCGTTCGGCATTGTAGAGCTCCTAATTTCTTGAGAGTGGATGACACATCTGCAAACCACTCTTTCGGAGCTGTTGCCAAGCCGTAGGCTGAGCCAGTGAGCTCCACACATTCCTGGGGTGTGAGCCCCAACTTCTCGGCCAACTCCGGGAGCGGTTTTGCCAGTAGACGCCGGCCTCGATCAGTAGGTCTTGCCTGCAGAAAAGCTGTGCGTACGTCGGCGGAGTAGATAGCCCATCGACGTATGCAGGCTAGGTTCAACATCAGCTGACGTGTCAACTTTGACATCGTAGGGGAAGCCGTTGTGTCTTCCAGAAGTCCGGGGTCACTGTATCCCAGTATCACAATCCTGGCCTTGGCCTTCACTTGAGGGTTTCCAGCTTCCGTTGGGTCAGCTTCCTTGAAGGTCAGGACCCATCGCATCCGCAGGAGTTGAGACTCCGGAACGTGCTCGGCCACCCGCTTGCACACCTTCAGTTGAACCCACTGAGCGACTTCGAGGCTCTTGGCCTCCGCCATTGCGGATCGTTGCTCCGCAGAAAGCCGCTGCCAGCTAACCTCCACTCCTTTGGAAACGGCCTTGCTCATGAACTTCTCAGGGTGCTTGACCATTTTCTTCCAAGCTTGAGCATCGGCAGGAGCATCAATGGTCACCGCGAAGACTTTGTCGGCCTCCTCAGTCACATGGTACAACGACTCACCCTCGTTCCGTCGCACATGCCACGGACGATCATCTTGTTCATGCCGGGCTCGTTGCTCTCGGAAGCTATCTCGAGGGTAAGGCGACACCAGAGCTGACGCCGGAATCGGCTGGAAGGGCATGTAGCTGGGGTCATTGAAGAGCTTATTCAAGTCAATCTCGGCATTGTCAGGAACCATCTCTTCTTCTTCCACAGGTTCTGGCCCTTCCCTTTTCCGAGCAGCAGAAGACGCAGCAGGAATCAGCTCCTCATCCGACAAAAGATCCGTCGTTTGGTCACCATTTCCAACATGATCATCCGCTCCGGGCAGAGGTCCATCGTCGCGGTCATCCTCATCCGGAAATTCCAGATCATCTGGATATACTGCGCGATCGCGGGTCAGATCCTCGTAGGCACCCTTGTTCAACAGAGAGGTCAAATTGGACATTGTCCATGGAAACGTGGTGCCGGAGGATTGCTGAGCAACCAGGTGCTCAGTTTCAGAAGCAGGTCGCACTTGGGTGTAATGACATTTCTTCAGCCGGCCTTGTGCAATCACCCAGAGATGTGAAGATGGCCGTCGTTCCCCGGGAGCTCCTCGAGATTCCGTGGCCAGGACCCGTGCCGGTCCGTACCAGCGAGATATCGTCATCCTCGGATGGTCGGTTGACATGTTGGCAGGAAGGTCTTGAGGAGTCTTGTAACGGCGGTAGTAGATCAAGTCCCCGGGCAAGTAGTGAGGATAGGCAGATGCAGATGACCTGGCTGCTCGATCACTGAGTTCCTTGTGTCGTAACTCCAAGAAAGCTTGCGCAGCTCGAAGTCGCATCCGTTGAGTCTGGTGGAGATCAGCACCCGGCGTTCCAGCACTGGAAAGAGCAGGAAGTTCGCCCGTGCCTTCATTCACGTGTCCACTCAAACTCAAATCCCGGCCTAATGCCCATTGAAGCGGCGAAAAGCCGTGTATTCGGGCCAGGCTGTTGTGCGAAGTCACCATTGACAAAGCCACCTGACGAGGGTGTTCAGGCCGTTCTCGTAGGAAAGTTTCAATCTTTCGGCGCAAAGTTCCAATTGATCGTTCCACCTCACTGATGAACTGATGGTGCTCAGCCGGGGCATGGACTAGCTCAACTCCTCGGGTGGCGCACCAATCTCGAAGAAGAGTTCCTCGTAGTGCACTCTCAGCATCCAGCTTGATTCGTTCTGGGAACCCAAAATACTGGGTCCAAGCTTCTTCCAAGAGATGGCACACTTGTGCCGAGGTTGCATTGCCACCTTTGTGGGCCGAGTGGTCGAACACCAGCCGAATCACCGCATAGCCTGAGCACTCATCGACAAAGAGGAGGAAGTGGTAGATCCGGTCATCGATCTTCATTTGGAACAAATCCATCTGGAGGTCGGTCCAGAGGCGATCGGATCTTGACAGATCCACAGGAGGTCGTGGAGCCTTGATTCGACTCTCCAGGCAGGCATCACACTTCAGTTGAGAGGCAGCAGCAATCAACCTTTTGTCAGCATGTCTGGCCTGAAGATTCTTAACCAACAGTCGGTTGGAGGGGTGTCCCAGTCGGGAGTGCAATCGATGCACTCTTTCCATCAGCTCGCCAAGCTCTTTAGAGGAGATGCCCTCCAGAACGGACATGTCCACTGCACCGACAAAGGAGAACACGGCCTCATACCGGATCACCTGCTGCATGAGCTTAGCCAGCATCTTCTCCAGGTCAGGAGGGGCCTCAGAAACACTCGGAAGGCCCTGCAGTAGAGTGGTAGAGGTCGATCTGTAGTGGGTCTCACCGCACTTCATCACCCGGCCATCTGCGTGCTGTTGGTGCTGGTACCAGAAGGCACGGACGCACGACAGGAGGCGAGCTGAACTTTCAGCCGGCTGGCACCACAAGACCTCTCCTCCATTGTTGATTTGCACCTGAGCAGTTTCCAGGAGATGGCGGACAACCTTGTTGAAGCGTCGCCACGGAGGGGAACTCATATCATCCTCCTTGTTCTTGCGAGTTGGTCCCAGTGGCACATGACAGATCAACCACCGGGGTCGAAGTCGTAGAATGGTGGACTTCACCAGCTCGGCTCCATGGTTGGTGCCCAAATCACCTCCTTCGGCGAAACCCAGAGTTTGCACCCGTTCGCCGCGAGATTGTAGTTCATCACGTAGCTTGGAGGCGGTGGCACAACAGATCTCAAGCCCGAACAGTCGAGCATCATCATCTTCGGTCTCGAAGTTTTCAAGCAGGAGATCCTGGTACTCCTCGAAGTCATTAAAGATCGCCTGTCTTTCATCCACCGACAAGTGACAAGTCTCAGTCGGTGAGGTCTGATCATCACAAACGCTCAAGGCTGAGGCTGAAGGTCGTGGCAGTGGAAAGGACACTTGTAGTAGAGCACGTCGAAGTTCAGGATCCAAGCCTCGGAAGGAGCGGGCCGTGTAGGCTGCCAGTGCAATGCGGGTTCCTCGCCAGGGCATGGTAGCATGCCATTGGTCCGCATCAAAAGAAATCACCTGGTGGTGAGGGGACAAGAGTCGCCCGTTGGCTAAGGATCCATTCGGCTTCTTACGGCGTCGCACTCCTCCAGCGGCAGAGTCCTCTGAGGTTCCTTCCAACCACAACTCTCCATGCTCATGCTCGCCGAAAGTGATCACGTAATTCGGCTGTCCTTTCAAGTTGTGGAGGTCTCGATGAGGCTTGGACTCCATGTTGTACACAATCGAAAACGTAGTCCAGTGGGCGGATGATGGAGCCCACGCCTGAAGCCACTGGTTGACGTACTTGCTGAGCTGAGGGTTCTGGAACGTGGAGTTCATGACACCACACTGAGATCCATGCGCGTACAACCCATAGCTCACCACGAAGGAAGTGGTTGTCTTCTTGTCCATGAACTTTCGTTGGGGCACCGCATGCGCCGCTCGAAGTTGCTTCAGGAAATTTTCAATCGTCGCCATGGAGTAGTCCCGCTCGTGCACGTAGGAGGCCGCGAGGTTCTCGATCATCTCCTCGTTCTCCAGAAGAGCATAACTCACTGGTTGCCGCTGCTGCGCTGATTGTACTCTAGCTCCTCCGCTGCCTCCTCGTTGCGTTTCACTGCCTTCCGGCCCGGATGCGCATGCATGCCCTCGATCACTTCTTCCACGTCCACCACCACAGTTGACGTCCCCAGGGAGCTGGTCGGCGAGGTGGGAGTCGGAGAGCTCGTCGGAGGTGCTGAGGTTGCCGGGGTTGCCTTGGGACCGGGTTCCTTCTGGGCAAGTCGCTTTGGCACTGCCCCACGTTGCCCGGCCTGTTGGCTCATTCGAGCCTGACGCACACGCATCAAGTTGTCCTCGGCACTCTTCTCCGCAGCTGCCCATCCAATGTCTTTGTCCTTCAACGTGGTCAGATTGGGCAGCTCCTCCTTGACCGCCGACTGGACGTCCTTCGGCAGGGCTCCCGGGGAGCGGTGGAGAGCATGACATCCTGCACGTGGTGTGTAAGACAGGCGTAGAAGGCAACGTTCGCATGCTATCCATTGACCGTACTGGTTCGAACCTGAGGGACTGCCCTTGAACATCCGGGCTGGAACATGTTCCCCGTTGCATGGAGGGCCACTGTGGCGAGGGTCGCGAGGATCGCTCTCGACCGTGCGGTCCCAGTCGAGCGGCTGGGACTTGTAGCCCCCTTTCTTCGGTTTGGCCTTGGCCGCCTCCTTCCCGGAGGTCACGAATTGCTCCTCGTTCTTGTCGGTGCTCTTCGAAGAAGGTGGCGCCGCTGCCTCCAGCTGCCGATGCGCCATGAAGAGCGAGGAGGTGAAGCAAAATGCGATTGGAATACATGGACTCAGAGTCCGTCTCCTCGAGCCGGAACGCATCGGCATTCACCGGAACCTCATCGTCGAGAGCACATACACTAGGAGGGTCACTCGCTAGAAGCGCATCGTCAGGAACTTGTGAACACATGGGCGCATCGGCTTCACTTGCAGGCATCTCATCATGTTCAACTGACTGCACCATGTAAGTTGTTTCTTCTCGATGCGGAAGAACACGTGAAGCGACTCTTGCGCGAGGTTCCAGCAGACTAAAGGAGTGAACCATCAGGTCCTGTCTCAAGTCTAACAGCAAATGACCTGTCACACTGCGCTGCAGCTGGATGCCTCGGTTCGGATCCACGGCTCCCATGACCAGGATATCACGATGACTGACCGCAACCGACGCAAAGTCTTTATGCCTATCAACAGCGGCACTCCCTCCACATCTAAGGTGTAAATACCCATGGGAACTTGGTGAGTGCCAAGAGTGACCGGCAACAGAATGTGCGAAGAAGACATGTCTTGGGACCCGTTTCCAAACTTGAAGCGCTTGGGGGCAGCGTTCGTGACCGCTACTTCTTCCACCTGATTTGTAACTTCGTACCGGGCTAACATCAAGGACTCCAAGGCTGGCAAACTTCCAACGGTCTCCGTAGCACCTGAATCCAACACCGCAAAACCGTCCATGCAAGACCCAGATGCTGACTTTTGGACCAGGATCATATCTGGCACGTCCACCGTCGTGTCCTCATAGACCATCGGAACCTGTCGGACGTCTGTTCTCTGCTCAAACATCACGGACGACCCAGAACCTGGAGACATTGCCAGAGTAGTCGCAGTAGCTGTGGAAACCATCGGAGAAGTCGAAGAAGCAGTAGTAGCCATCGGGGAAGTCGAAGAAGCTGTAGTAGCCATCGGGGAAGTCGAAGAAGCTGTAGTAGCCATCGGGGAAGTCGAAGAAGCTGGCCTAGTAGCCATCGGGGAAGTCGAAGAAGCTGGCCTAGTAGCCATTGGGGAAGTCGAAGAAGCTGGCCTAGTAGCCATTGGGGAAGTCGAAGAAGCTGTAGTCGCCATCGAAGAAGTCGCCTGCACCATGTACACCTCCGGTTCCGTATGGAAGTGGACCTTGCCGCTTCCTTTTGCAGGTCCTTTTGTCGAGCGCCTGGGGCAGTCGCGAAACTGGTGACTCCTGTCGCCGCAAATGAAACACCCACTGTAACCCGCCTGTCCAGGACTCACAGCAAAGGTCGGACTCTCACTCATCAACACAGGCACCGACAGGCTGGCCACAGGTGAAGTTGGCGTAGCCCCTTTCTTTCCTTTGCCCTTGCCCTTCGGGAAGGAACGCATCTTTCCTTTTCCCTTTTGGGAGCGAAATCCTTTGTTCTGCGGGGCAAAGGGATAGAAACCTCGACTCAGATGGCGGGCTCGAACAGCTTTCCTGGCATCAACGAAAGTCCGAAGCTTGGAGTCCGCTGCCTGGTAAGCCTCCTCAACTTGCTGAAGTTCCTCGGCGGTGAGGATGTTGGCGGGGTCCTCCTCTGGAGTCCAGCCATGCAACTCATCGCCCCAGTAGGCGCCATCGGAGCTGCCTGTCCAGCTCTCGTCTCCGTACTCCTCGTCCTCAGCCCAGACGTTGAAGGCATTCTCGTCGCCCACATAGTGCGTGGGTATTCCTTCCAGGCTCTCGCTGAGGTCATCGTCATCAGCGAGCAGAATACTCCAGTGACCTTCATCTTCCACCCAGAAAGATCGACGCCGGCCCGCAGGATGAGGAGTCCTGGTTTGCTCCTGAGCCAACAGCTCGTCCTCCATGCCACGAAGCGCCCCCTCGACTCGATCGAGCTTCAGCGAGTTGCCAGAAGCCGCCTGGACACTCAAGCGAGCTTGGGCACTCAAGCCCGCTCGCCGCAGCAACAACCATCCGAGGAGCTCCGAGGGCAAGACTTCCTCTAACTTCTCCTCGTAGCGGCTCCAGATTTCCAGGTCAGCAAGGGCCTTTACGCTGTCATCGCTGTCACTGTCTCGGCGCTTCCGTCGAGGCGGTCGAGACTCAGAAGTCCTTGACGCTGGAGAGGAGGAAAGCCCTTCTTCATCGCGACGGAGCTCTTCATCGTCGGGAGCTCCTGGCAGCGTCTCCGTTTCATCTTGTTCTCCTTCGGTTGGTTCTTCAGCATGCGGCTCCTCCAAGGTTCCTTGACTGGTACGACGCGAAGAGCGGGTCTTGGTAGGAGTGCTGGTCGGCGAAGGAGAGGAGATAGCTCTGGGTCCTTTCCGGGCTCTTGCAAGGGCAAGCTGAAGCTGACGATAAGCATCTCTGAGCTGGGTTGCCCATGTCGCCATGCTCGTGCCAGGGTGGCGCCTCAAGCGGATCATGAGTTGTTCGAGGCGAAGCCCCACATCAGGAATCGGCGTTTTGCAAAGTCGATCTCTAAGGAATTCGATCAAATACACAACACCATCACGACGAACAAGCTGACGATGATCAAGTTCTTGAGTCACCACCCATGCGCGGCCACTGAGCTGGCCCACTATCTCAGGACCCAGCAGATGACGCTTCCGTCTCGAGGTCTTCTCGAATGCGAGACGGACGCATCGTAAGAAATCTGCCCATCCTCCCGGATCGCCGTTCCACTGGCATTTCAACCAAGACGAATCTTTGTCACCTGAATTCATGAATTTGTTGCAGTGCCACCGAGGAGGAACGCAATGAGGTACCTAGGCTCCCTGTCGGGGAATCTCACCCGAGAGGACGTTGAACAGCGGATAGTCGTAGGCACCGTCGGGAACCTCAAACACCAGCGCACACACCGTGAGCTTCTCACAGTGGTAGGGAGCCCGGATCGATGCTCCGCTACCAATGTCACTGGCAAAACACCAGTGACACTGGAAGCTTGAAGATCCGACGGATGCAATCGCTCGGCTCGCTTTTCACACACTGCTCTGAGAGCCGCAGGGTCGGGCTCTGAAGAGCCGCACAAAAGCCTATGGCTCGTGAGGATAGCACTGCGTGCTTCGTGAAATCAGTAGCACAATACGTTTGGGCCAAAGGAGCTCCTGCGCAGCTGAAACATACAAAAGCCTGTGATGGAGTGTAACATGCCGAGGCGTTACCTGCGACAGGCGTTGGAGTAGATCATGTCGACACCAGAGGTCAATTGGCTGCTGACAGAATTCGAGTCCCCACCCCAACCTGAAGAACCCCAGGTCACCACACTGCCATCTGATTTCTTTGCAGCAAAGGCTTTATCGGTGGAAGAGATCATGTCGACACCGGAGGTCAAGTGGCTGCTGACAGAACTCGAGTAGCCACCATTCTGCGAATCACCCCAAGTCACCACGCTGCCATCCGATTTCTGCGCAGCGAATGCAAACGGGTTGGAGTAGATAATGTCGACAGTGGCTGCCGAGCAAAGGAGCAACTGACAGAAAATCCGGATCAGTGAAACCGTCATGGCGTCGGTTGGGACGACAACTAGTTCTTGCCTCCTGCATGGCTGTAGCCATTTAGCGCAGTGGTGATGATGATGATGATGATGATGGCGCGAGCAAACGCATTTGTCACCCGAGACACTAAGCCCCACAGGCCCGAATGTGCGGCAGATCTGTCTTTCAATTCTTATAAGGCACCGTACCGTCCTGCAGGTTGGGCGGGTGACCTCGGCAGCCCTCGCCGCCATCTTCCTGCCACTTCAGCCAAAAGTCTTGCAGACTCCAAGTGTTGGCTTCGGGATCCAGAGGTCGCCAAGACAGCTCGGGACAAGTGCGGTTTAAACATATTACGCTAGCAGGGCTGGCAGAGTGGAACTATCTGTGGCATGCTCATACCTGGTACCGGAGGGTCCGCTCCTGAGTCAATACTGCGGGATCTGCGGGCTTCTTCCTTCATGTGTCGGTGTCAAGATTGGATCCACGGCATTTTCAACTTCATTTGGCTTTCCCGTCTTCTGTCCATCAATCAGCTCAAAGCAGGAGACATATGAACTCCCATGCACAAGGCCCTGACAATCCCCGTTCTCCTAGGCTTTGTGCCACCCTCCTCATCCATGTGTAAGCTGGGACCATGTGTCCCTAACGTGGGCGATCCTAGTAACTATAGGTGCATTTGGTGCTAAGTATAAAGCCTCTCCTTGGGCTCACCGAGTATATTGAGAGCATAGGGGGATAAGCGGCGACATGCCTACAATGCGAGCACAATCCTGCCTGTGCAACATTTTCAGCATAAGCTTGCGTATATCTATGAGTGCACAGATGCACATCAACGGCTCATATTTATATACACGAGACAGAGAACAAATGGGAAGCAAGCACCTCTGATATACTTCTATGCCTCTCTGTACTCCACTTAGTCACTAGGCCCTTTCTCAGAACGGCCGGCCTTCGGACTTCCTTCCATGGATCCGGCGGCTCTCGCGGAGCCTGGCCGTCCCATATGCATGGGCTCTGTCTGCGTGTGTGCGTGTGTACAAGTGTATGTCTGCATGTGCGAGCATGCATGTATGTATGCTTGATTATGCTGAAGATGTATGCATGTCTGCATAGATGCACGCAAGACATTTTTAGCACTCGCACACGACGCTGCAGGCAATACATACAGACAGAAAGGCGGACGGACAGACAGAACGTTTTTGGGATATGACAGATGTCTACGTCTCTGAGTCTCATTTACGGAAAACCGTACTCTGATGATCGCTGCTCTTTTGCGGCATGGTCGCGATCTTCGTTGCTGTCGTGGCATTGCCATGGGCGTTTTGGGCAAGTGGATTGGACTCTCGCGACAAGGCTGTTCAGCGCCTGCGAGCAGAACCCAAAACAGCCAAGTTAAGCTATCACGCATTGACGAATGCCCACAACCAACGATGCATCGTAACCACCAGTCCTTCGAAAGCCACAAGTAAACCGTGCGAAGACCGGACTTTGCCTGGACTGCGTCAGCATGTGAGAGAGCTCAAAAGAAAACAGGCACATAGGCTATCTATTGTATGTGTAGCTTTAGATGCAGACTTTGCCGCATGAGCAGTTCTGCAACTTCGTAGAGTGGCCTTGCTTGACTGACTAACCCTCACCGCACTCCTCAGTTCAATGATGCAGTCCCTTCACGTTGAGTGTTGGGCCACTTGTCGGAGCAAAAGAAATGCACAGCTGAGTCTCCAAATAAACATGGGGAATACGCTGGTTAATCACTCTTTGCAGGGTAGCAAACGTGGAAAAACCATGCAGGAGGTTGTAACATCACCCTGATTTGATGGCGAAACAACCTTGTCATATTGTGCCGGATATCTCTGCTATTGCCCTGTGCCTCGCGATTATGCTTCCTGCCGATCGGGGCTGAGACTTCAAAGTTAACCCTTGGTTTGCTGTGACAGGCTGGATACCCGTTTTTCTCAAATCCGGCGAGCCCTAAGCACTCCTTCTGGGCTGAACGAAGCAACACCTGTCAGTCTATGGCTGTGATGCATGACTGGGTGCATGGATAACACGTCGCCTCCGTGGATGTGACGGCTTTGGTGACCAAAGCCGCTGTGGCTGCAGTTGTGGCAGCAATGGAGACCGGGACAGTCATCATCACTGAGCTTGGAGGCAGCTGGGCACCGGATGACTCTGGCCTCCACATCTGCCAACATCTCAAAACGACAAGCGACAAGAGACACCCCAGCAATCATTTCATGAAACTTCCTTCGCCCCGGGCCTTGTGTTCGCCACCTCTTCATGGCTATGGGGCACCTTCTGCCTGCAGGCGGAAGTGACCGTTGCGTCGGCCCAGAACTGAAATGCGAGTGGGACCGGGACCTCAGCTCCTGCGGCTCCTGGTCCTGGAGCGAGCGCAAGGCGACCGTGTCTTTCAGGTTGGACCCGATCTCCTCGCACCGGGCACACGGCTGCGGCTGCTCAGGCCGTTCGCACATGCCGCCTGGAACGCCTCACCAAGAGACATGCAAAGCTGGCAAATCAAATCCAGCCACCAAAACCCTAGCCGTAGCCGCGCTAGCCGACTCGCCCATGACTGGCTACTACATGAGGCAAGCAAACTCGGTAAGCAGCGCATTGGCCTCTACAGCCTCTGCATACTGCGAGTGCCATCCCATGTCCTCCGGTCAATGCTTCAGATTCAGAGTCGTAGCAGACTTGGGGCTAGCCAATGCACAGGCTTTCAGAGACACGAATGTTTGCGTGTGCGACCAGGCGCAGGCACAGGTACTCAGTATGATCCCCCAGTCACACAGGCACGCCTTCAGCTTGTTCTGTGTGAGATACGTTGCAGTTGCGCTCAGCACCAAGAGCAGCAAAGCCTCTGCAGAGCCACGAAATCTGAACATAGGCTGCTTGGATGGATTGGGGCACCGCTAAGCATCTGTCGTCTCAGACACCAGACCTCAGAGTACCTCGCCTGCCACGTGAACGACGATAAAACATGTCTGATCAAGCCCCTGTCCGCTCACAAAAAGACATCCGAAATCTACACCTGGGCTTGTAACGGCTGTCCGATGCTGTTCGGCGGGTCACCGCGTGAAGGATGTGCCAGCGGCAGGAACCACCACTTCTGGAGCTGTGTCTGGCCATCGAGCAGCGCTGGATTGGGAAGTAGTGCTATGTTAGCACGGCGGTTGATGATGACGGCGGTTGTGTACATGCTGCGGGAGGCCCATGGTTACGGCATAGTGTCGGAATCGCTGCTTAGTTTCTGCGGTTGCTTGCTTTCACAGGCAGCCCTCTACTGCCTCAAGTCACTGAGACCATCCAAGCAAGGTCCTGATGAAACTAATTCACTGAAATGCAGCCTGGAACTTGACTAGGTAAATTGCATCTCTCAGGCGGTTTGCAAGTGTACGACAGTGTACGATGACATCACTCCTTGCAGGCTGTTGCCACCAGCATGAGAACTGGGTGTTCTTTCTCGCTGCTAAAAGGTCGGGGTGGTCTGGGTCTAGTCTAGTCGCTCGGCAGTGTCTTGCATTGCCGAAGCATGTTAAAAGTTGGAATCGTGCTGGCTCAGTGCCCTCCAGGATGGCCAGGACGGAAGAATTGTCAAGCCTTTTGTGCACTCTTGTGGTGCACGCACTATGAACCTGATCCTTCTGCGTGACACATGCCGAACCTAGGCGATGTAGACGGATAATATCGATGGAAAGACAGCAAAACAGATGGACGGACTTCAACACAGCCACCTTGCTCAGGGTGAAATTGCTTCCGTCTACATGGCGCGCGGATGAGCGTGGTATAGATAGTATAGATTTCTAGACTCCCGAAAACAGTAGAACGTCGACCTCATGGCCCGCGGCTGTGCTAGTGATTGGAGAGGTGGAGAGGTCAGGAGAGCGAGCTTTGCTGAGCCCAGAGGGTCTGAGGAAGTGGCCGGCTACATGACTAAGAGCCTCATCACTGGCCTAATCATGGCATAGTCCGCCGGACACACGAGACGACCCACATCTGTAGCAAGAACCTTCGCAAGCTCCAACGAGAGGTAAGCAAGTTGCCATGCTAAGAACAGTGTGCGAACAAGCGGCTGACATGCAAAGCTGTCTGCAGAGCTCGTCACTAGCTGCTCGGTGCCAGGCATACCGAAACGATCAGGTTCGTCAAGGATTGCAACGATCTTCCCCAATCAAACAATGTAGGAGCTGTCAGCTCGCAAAACCAGAAAGCCTAACATTCTATGCGCAGTCTTTGAGACCTGCCGCGAGCTACTGGCATGTGCCCAACAACCCTGCGTTGGACCGTGCAGACCCCATGTGCCATCTTGCAGAAAAGAGCTGCGAAACCGCTGCAGCACCGGAGAACACCCGTCCCCAGAGACTCCAAACCCTTAATTAAGGAATATACCTTAAATCATATTGGGGATCCTATTATAATTTAAGGTATATTCCTTAATTAAGGGGTTTTGGAGGCTCTGGGTCGCACGAATAGCAACGCAATTACAGGAAACCATCGAACATTGATTCCTGGCGCAGCGGCCGCACTTCTCAATAGTGCAAGGGCATAAGGGCATGTACAAATCGTGACGGCTTCGGCAAGGCGTAGCTTCTCATTCGATCTCCCATGTCGTGACGCCGAATGATTACACCCTGGACTGACCAAAAAGACGGCGGAAATCAGCATTCGAGACCATTCCTGCCACTGGGGCATTGTACAGGTCCCAGTGCGATCCTCAGCTGCAGCGTTGCAGAAGGTGGAAATCTACGAGCAACAACAGGCCTTTGTGGCCTGATGTGGCCAGTCCTGGAAGACGCAGATTGCCAAGCACAGCCGGCTAGAGCTGAAGATGTGATGGAGTTGTGTGCAGCCAATCCTCTGCACAAGATGGTGCCTCTGGTGCGACCTACACGAATGAAGGTTGTGCAGAATTTCGCGGTATAGTCGGGGGGATTGTTTCCATGTTCCGAAGAGCCTCGCCCTGAAGCGCAAGTGACTAGCACCTTGGCAAGGCACGCTTGGCCACCTTCGTCAGCCACTCGACGAGCACCTCCCGAGTCACCTTTGTTTGATCATTGACAACCCAGACACCATGGGCCCATGCAGAAAACGAAGAAGCGCCAATGACTTCTACTTGTTACCACCTAGCGCCCCGGTTTGAGCCAACCTCCTCGCTTTCGCCGAGGCACGGGACCTTTCAGGGCTACCTCCACAGCTGCGTGGACCTCCTGGAGGGTTAGGTCCTGGACAATCCGAGGATGGCGGTGGCAGAAGTGATGTTGTGGGGTGGTCGCTGCCAAAACACACGTGGGTTGCAGAAGCGTAGTTGCTGATCTCTCTACTCTTAGCCGCTCAAGTAGAGAAGATCAACGGGCCTTCGCAGGGTCGATCTGCATCTTCTCCAGCCTTGCACTCACACTTTTTGAACATGTGGCAAGAGCCAAGCGATGATTCCAGTGACACAGGGAAGAAAAACTAGAAAGCATCTAATTGTACAGCCAGGGCTGAAGATCTGGACGGCCCAGGCCTGTCACAGGACGGCTTTCGACAACAAGACAAACCTTAATGCCATCTGTTTGGCCAGTGAGCTTCTCATCCGAAGCTTGCTTTGTGCAGAACAGCACGGCAAAAGACCCGCCCCTGGCCCTCCGAATACCAAGCAGCAGTGTGTCGTACAAGCGCTGTTCCCTTTCTCCTGGGAGTGCTTGCAGGCTTGGTGTGGGCGCAAACTCAACGCCCATGTTCGGGCGTATTTCCACTGTCCGCCTAGAAAGTGCCAGCTCGTTACACCCATCACTGCGATCGCACCTGTGTTTACACCATCAAGACATAGGACAAGCGATAAACAAGAGAGAAAGAAGCAGTCTCATGATGTGGCTTGTCTGGATTTCATATTGAGCATGGCAGCCGCTAGCAAACAAGTTCTCCGCCTGTACCTGCAAAACTCGAGCCATACCATATTGTACATTTCTCTGAGCGGGATCCAATGGATAATGCTAGAGTACGCTTTACTGCCGCGAGCAGCAATTAATATATAGTTAATAATTCTCGTCCTAGCGGCCTCTGAGCACAGCGACCGCGGCAGAAAACTCTTGGAAATCCTTGGTGCTTGGCTTTCCAGGGCTTTCGGATTGGGGACTCGAGGCTTCAAGGGGTTTTGGTTAATTGCATGGTTCCTGAGTGGAAGCGCAGCCCTTCAGTTACACTGGCTGCACTAGACAGACCCGCCAAAAGCTGGCAAAGCACCCACTAAAACTCGTGGCGAAGAACCTCTCCTCCGACTCCTCCGAAAGCAAGGTGCCCCAGCAAACTGACTAACAACGAGGCAAGTCACAGCTACAGCTGGGAATGCGGACTGATGTCCGATCGTAGCCGTATACGTTCCAGAAGCATCAAGCCCTACTTCTTTGTCACATCGCCCGAACTCACCCTTCCAAACTCAGGGATTTTCACTGAGAACACACCACTCTGCAGACGGAGTATCTAGACGTCCAGACTGGTCCGTGTCCATAGCAGTTGCAACTCGCAAGCCGTGCTCACGTTCGATGCCGAGAACCTCCTTCGCGCAGATGGATCGAAGCACAGTTTTGGGATTGCGGCTTGAAGCGGCTCCTCCAGCGCGTTTGCAATCTCATCGTAGGTCAGGTGACCTTCTCGAGGCTAATTGCAGTCCCTATAACACAGCAGCTGACTTGAAAGGCCTAGTGTGGCTGTGCTAAGCCAGGTAATCCCAATTGAGAACTCGGTGGTTTGAGAGCAGGGGCTCTTGAGCTTCTGCGTGTTGTCGAATGGGCTGGCTTTGTTGGCTCCAGTTCCTACTGCAGTGGCCAAGCAGAGAACGGGTGACGTTCACTGAACTCGGGTCGCAGCCGCTCTGCTCATTGTCAACACGCTTGAAGCTCTCGGCTGCTCTTCGAAGATCACCTGCACCCAGCCATGCCAGGGTGGATCACATAAAGCCCTGCTGGAAGAATGAATCCAAGCTTCAAACAAACACCTCCTTCCACCAGACCCGACTGGCCACCGACGCACAAAACGCACCCTGATTTCCCGAAGCCGGCACCTACCGGCAGGTAAGAGGCCAGGTGGAAGGCCACAGCCCGCTGCAGTGGCGTCCGCTTGGCAAAACGCACCAAGGCTTTGCAGATGCGCCGCCTTTCCGAGCAAATTGATGCAGTGAGGGAAACAGGCAGCGCTTGGCGCAAGAAGCCACATAGATTAAGACTTACCCTGCATCCACACATCGCACAGGAATTCTACATGCAGCAGGATTTGATTCAGCTCGCTACCATATCCTGACCGTGGCTCTAGCTCTTCTTGTTGCTACTCTCATTATGCTCATTCCTACAGCTACTATCATGCTCATTATTACAGTTACTACTATGCTCATTATTACGGTTCCTCTTATTCTTATTTTTTGATCTTACTCCTGTTGATACTTTGGCTATCATTGTTGCTATTTTTACTCCTTATTTGTTATTAGTACTATTACTAGTTACTATATTACTGTCATACTTGACCTTCTCCCAGAGGCTTCGGTGCCTTTCCAATCTCAGGAGCTCCTCACCGGCCGCCTCCTCCTGGCGCTTGGAAGCCCACTTCGGACAGCGAACGGCCTAAGAATCCGAATCATAAAAAGCATAAGAATATGTGTATTTTTGTCACTCGCTCTCAGCAAGCAGGCGAAGATCGAGTGGCTACACGTGACAATCACATGACTACATGGGGTATTCACCAAGTTTTCGTATGCAGGTATCGGTAATTTCACCCAGACCCGCAAGCACTCCTAACACATGTTCATGCCCCCTTCACCTGCACTTCATAGTGCGCTGCCGTGAGCATGTCCCGCAGCGGGCGGGAAACTCACGATACATCCGGCTACCAGCAGCTAAGGCGCAGAACAAACGATAATAGCCACTGGAACACTCACCAAGCAATGTAACTCCTCAGATACCATATGCCACATCATATCACCTGTGAGCGTGGCCTCCAGCAGATCATCAGAAGCAGGCTTTCGGGCAAGGGCGAACCACTACATTGTAACCAGCCGTGTCTCCAAGAAGCAGACGTTTTGCACCCAGGCCAGCCCAGATTGACGTGGTCATTTGGCAGTTGTCGCCAAGACGGCGCTTTCAGAGTCTGCATGTCCAAGTTTCAGGCAGAAGCATAGTAGGCTGCAAAGTCATGCCAAAAAGTGCACGACAGTCAATGATGCCTTCAAGGTCCAGTGTATTCCAGGTCCAGTGTATTCCGTGCTCAACATACACATAGCTGAGCTGCCAAGCCAGACCAGACAAGCACTCAGAAGAGCACAACCAGACTGCAGGGCCAGGCCAGCCCAAAAAGTCGCCGTCGCTTGTCTACAGGTTTGCAAGGTAACATCCCAACAGCGCCTAAGGTAGTCGCCATCGCTTGTCTACGGATTTGCAAGGCAGCCTCCCGAAAACTGAAGGGCCTAGGCCTCAGCGGAGTTGCCCTCAGGTAAAGTCGCAGACCGTGCCAATCCAGAGAGCTCTACACTGGTTGTACCCCACTGCACTCATCGCGCCAGTTGTTCCAACGGCCTTACACTTGCAGCTTGCAGCTTCAGCATCTCTAGGCCCATGCGAGCTACCACTCCAGTGCACAAGGGTAGCCATGGCGCAACTAACGACCATCTGTCTGTAGTAACGAGGGGATAACCCTCTGCGTGTTCCGAAAACTCTGCCTTGTCATGCTGGCCCAAGTCGTGGGGTCAGAGCGAGGGAATATACCCTCCATTACCCTCCTTAACGCTAGTTCTGCATTGGGTCCCAAGCTTTTACTGCCTGGGAAACGCCATCCACCTTGCGTTGGGTGGTCAAGATCCGGTTGCTGAGGTCGGTCTGTAGGTTCTGCAGCTGTGTGCCAACCGTAGTGATCCTGCCGTCGAGGTCCCAGCTGGAATTTTCAACCCTTTGCAGGCTTTTTGCGCGCACTCCTCCGCCGAAAGGACAATGTCCTTGACGGTCCTAGTGGCAGTGCCCGTCTCCGGCAGTGGCGCCAAGGTGGCTTGGAGGCCTCTGAGTATTGGCAGGATCTTTTCCCTGAGGGGCTCAAATGCTTCCTTGAGCGCATCCGACAAGTGCTCCTGGCCCCTTGAGTAAAGACCCCAGTCCCCTGTACGCTTGCAGCGGAGGCACAGCAGGTACAAACTGTTTACACACTCGTCCAAGCGTCATGACCAAGGCACTGGGTCCTTCTCCGAGCCTTCTGCTCGGATGCTTACGCTGGCATGCCCCGCACACATACAACCTGCAGGCTCGTACGACCAAGGCACCGGGGTTTGGGCTGATCCCTTGGCCTTGTGGCTGCGCAAGGAAGCACAGTCGCTGGGTGGGCTGTCAATGCGGGCTTCCTTGCCTCAGTGTTCCTTCCCAAGATGACAGGCAGGCCAACGGGGATACGATTTACATTCAAGCTTGCTGCCAAGGTTGCTGCCAGTGCAGGGTGCAGCAAAAACAGTACAGAACGAGTTTGAATCCGTAACAGCTCGTCAGTCAGACGAACTAGTTGACAGATGTACACTAACATAGCACATAACGGGCAACTCCGGCCCCGGAAATTACAAGTTACCACCTAGTTATCCATACAGGCCCTCAGTGCGAGCTGGATGCAGTAAAATATCCCAGCATGGTAGGTGGCGTCCCGTTACCCACCATGCAATCGACTCGGCTGTGCAATCTAGTCGTACGGACCAGTCCAACAACAACTGAAACTCCAAGTAACGACAGTCATAACGACTAGTATACACACTAAAATGTAGGGGGCTAGAAAGGTCAGGGTAATCAGTGGTTGCCTGTTCCAAAGACTCCAGGTACAGCTGTAGGTGAAACACTTCAAAGCAATAATGCCACATCCATGCGATGCGTAAGGAGCGGATCATAGAGCGGAATTGGTGCGCAACCACACAGGCAATCTGGTGGGGCAAACAGTGCAGATGACCCCTCACTCCCGAAGCAGCAAGAGGGCCGAAGTCCAGGAGGTGCGGGGCTCGGGAAACCGCTAGCACGTAGTCGTCATCCACCGTAGTGATATGCTGCGCCATGTTTCTACACTGAAACCTAAAGGCTGCGCTAGCGGTCGTTGGAGGAGCACTCATGTATACCACACACTCTAGCACTCGAACATGTGCATGGCAGAGAGGCCGCTAACATAGCAAGTGCACCGGTTTCCAATTTTCCCAAGGACAAACAGTGCAAGTCGAAAGGACAGTGCAGCAGTACATCTCTTCAAGTTTTGCATCGTCACGCACTAGTGGCGTGAAAAACAGCACAACAACATAAAGGGTCTCGTAAACTATGTTACAGCCTCTTTTTTTTCAGCTGCTTTTGTCCGCGGTACGCCAGCCGCACGGAGAAAAAGGTTTTGGAGAAAGCCGCAAGCCCAGCGCTGGCTGGCTTGGGAAAGCTTGTTGGGGTGAATATCCACGCGCATCACCCCACTGGGCTCCTGGAGCGGTCCCTTCCAGATCCACTGCCGCCACCAGTGGAGCCTTGCACCCAGCCCGCGACATCCGGGAAGGCCGTCTGCAGGTCTTCATAGAGTATGAAGAAATCGCCGTGCGTAATAGCAAAGATCTCATCCCCGTTCCGGATGAGAACATCACCACGCGCAGCAATGAGGGTGGCTCCCGGGTCCCCAGGCAGCAGGAGCTGCGAACGTAAGCGACTGCTGAGAGACTTGCAATGCAGCCATGCGCATGTCTTTGACTTGCTGCTTGAAGTTGTACTTCTGAAAGCCATCCTGTGAAAGCCGGCGCGAATCCTCGGGTGCATCTGCCGGGATGTCGCCATCAAGGGTAATTAAGATTAGGGCTGGCCACATCGTAGAAGGTGCTGTCGTGATGGGCGACGGTATGATATCCCGGCCGCGCATTGTTGGGCTTTGCGATCCTCTCCGGCTTGCGGATCACAGGCACCGCCACTTGAGCCAGCTCCAACTCCCAAAGAGCCATCATATCGCTCTGCGACTGCATTGTTGCAAGGAAGGTAAGGCGGGGGAGCTGGAAGGCTGGCTTTGATGCAAACGGCTTGAGCCGTAGCAATAAGAATATGTGTATACATATATATATATATGTATTGTAGGCAGAATCATAAGAAGATGAGTCGTAGTCATACTCAGAATCCTAAGAATATAAGTTGAGTCATATATTCATACGCATAAACATCCTTACGGGTAATGATAATAATCAGGACCGTGAGAATATAAGTCGCAGTGAAGACAATAAAAAGCCATAATCAAACACATAGTGGTCAACATGAACAATTATAACAAACGAGCAGCAACCGACAAAGAATAACAGCACAAAGCAAGCGGTTCAATATGGCAAGACCCTGAACCGCATGGCTGTGTACTGTTTGCTGCAGTACTTCGGTTCGGTATCAGCGGTGTGGAACTAACCTGGCTGCATGCTTCGGTCGGTTAAGACCAGCTAAACCTAAATCAGAAATGACCAAACAACTCTCTGCAACCCTTTTCGGCTGAAGATCCAAGCTTGCCAAGGCTTGCGTTCAGAAAGCCGTACAGTACAACTCATCCTTTACAATTACAAAGCCTTAAACACAGCTGAGCCTTCACTTCACCACAAACCGCCTCACTTCACCACAAACCGCCTCAGAGCCCTAAACCGTTATAGATCCCTTTTCGGAAACCAATCATAGAACCCCAACAAGAACCCTTCAAATTCCTCAAGTTCTGCCTCCTCCAGGGAGAGCGCCACGCCCCCCAGCGAGTGTCGGCCCTCGAGCCGAAGCCGCCGGAGGCGCCGGTTCTCGCACTTCTGCACCTCCGATCACTCCGACGGCAAGGACTAGGTGGGGCTTTTAAAGCTTTTGAACGATAGGTAAATAAGATCCTCTTAGTCCCAATAAGTGAAAATAGAAAATGTCCCAAGACCTACTTAGAAGTCGGGTTTATACACTCTCGCAACTCGGACGCGCCGGACGAGGTCTCTGTGCTCGGCTGCACAACTAACTTCAACTACTCTACTTCTCTGTCAGTACGTCACTACAGGAGTCACTCAGACCCGGGCCGAAAAACAGCTCAACAACAAGTTAGGGCCATGTACTACCCCAGCTCCAAGCGGATGTCAGAAGTCGACCTGTCAACAAGAAGCACCAAAATGATGACAACCGACGCTCACGAGTAAAGTATAGCAAAACATAACAGTCGACGACTAAGAGAAAAAGAAGGGTGATCAGAATGGAAGGGTAAGAAAGCCTGCGGTCTGTAGCTGAGGCCAGAACTGTTCACGAACACAGGAAGGGAGGCTGTAGCTGGTACCCGTGACATCCCGTGGATCAGCATCCCCTAAATCTTAACACGGAAGCCGACAGAAGCACCAGCCAGTCGTCACTCAGGCATTCCAGGGTGGATGGCCGCTTCGCAGGGTCCATCTCCTGTGCAGGATTTCGGACAAGAACATCCTCCACGCTTCTTTTTCAAACCTGACTGGCATAGCACAAGAGCATCCGTGGCTCCAGCATGCGGCTGACGAGGGTGATAACTCCCTTGGAACAGCCAGCCGACTTCCTGCGCGGCTGCAAGCTTCATTTGCGACAAGTAAACGGACACCGTGGTCGGCACGCGGCGGTGGCAGTCCGAGCTTGAATACAAAATCTTCCCCAACTCTCGCCAAGATGCAGCTGGGCGGTGAGATCGCAGTTCATGTTGGCGCGTGTCTGAGCATAGTCGACGGGGCCGTAAGATCCCCCACCTGGTTGGCCAGTGGGTATGTCGGTACGGGAAGTCAGATCACCTACTGGTAGCTGAAAATACCTTTGTTAACCAAAGCTCGCTACGAGGATGCCTTTTGTTCCCACAGCTTCGCTCGCACAGAGTTGCGGAAGCTCGGTTACCGTTCATATCGACAAATCGTTCTGAACCGTGGTGTTGAACAAACTCACGGAGCCCGTGCAACCGAACCGAACCGCAGGAACCGAACCGCAAGAACCGCCAAATTATGCAAACCGAACCCCTACCGCCACTACTGGTACTACTACTACTACCACCACCACCACCACGACTACTACTACTACTACTACTACTACTACTACTACTACTACTACTACTACTACTACTACTACTACTACTACTCCTGCTGCTGCTGCTGCTGCTGCTGCTGCTGCTGCTGCTACTGCTACTGCTACTGCTACTGCTACTGCTACTGCTACTGCTACTACTACTACTACTACTACTACTACTACTACTACTACTACTACTACTACTACTACTACTACGACTACGACTACGACTACGACTACGACTACGACCACGACGACGACGACGGCTACTGCTACTGCTACTGCTACTCCAGGCGGCCGGCCGGTCGGACACTATGCACGGGAGTCCAGGAAAATGAGGCGTGCAAACCGTGACGAACCGAAAACCGAATCCAACCGGTTCACGCGAGCCTAACGGAACCGAGCCGCGGGAACCCTGCAAACTTTGCATCGGGGCACCTCGATACGCGACTTTGTAGGGCACATCACCTGTGAAGAGCTGGTGCCTGGGCAAATGTCTCAAGGTGTTTTGCCCCTTTCTGATCAAACACTTTCTACAGTATGGCCCGGAGGAAGGGGATGAAGGGAACTGAAGAATCAGAAGCAAAGCCAAGCTGATTGCTTCAGTTGCAGCAATTAGCGTGTCGCCCGTGGGTTGATCCAGCAGAGCCCAACCCCTTGCGGGCGTGGACTACCAGGGAGTTGCGGCCAAGCACCCTTGCAGCTTCCGGCCAAGTTGCGCAACGATGCCCAAGCTGAAAACGTCGCAGCGGTCATCGAAGTCTGGGCAGGTAGCGCTGGTTCGACGACGTCTGGACAAGCAATCACCCTAACCACCCGCCGGCACGTCGCAAATCGAGACAGGGTGGGGCCGTAGCTTGCACGCGGGTCAATCAACTTCCTCCAAAGTCAGGTGCCGACCCGACCCTTTCATACTGACTCCGTCTGTAGGAGATTTCGCTTTTCTGCCACCCACACTGCTGCAGCCCGGCATCTGCTTCTTCGCCCAAGCATGCAGTCAATCACCTGCATTGCAGCTTCTTGCCGAGATCCAACTGTCGACGCGGGGTTAAGTCATTCTTGGCTAAATCTAGCAGAGTTTATGGCACATGCTCTCGCAATCTGTGTCGATCTCTTCGAGACCGGAACAGCATCTGCAAAAGGGCGAATGACAACACTTGCCCCAACACTTCGCCAATCAAAATCCGTTACGGCACCTCTGGAGCCATTGTCTGCGGAGTGCCAGCTGGCATCGGCCGCGCATCTCCTGACATTCTGATTCTGATGACATGACAAGGAAAGCAGGGAAGAAGTACTAAGCCTCACCAGCGCCAAAAGCCCTCCGACTCCCAAGCTGGCCGGACTGGGCCCCCCGTGCAGTCTCTCGACACAAGGCCTTGTCATCCCGAGGGGCTCCTTCCTAAACAGACAGGGCATGGTTCCCACAGCCACCTCCATGTATGTTGCGAGAAAGATCATTGAATCCAGAAGTGAACATCCCTTGATTCAGATCTGGCAGATGCGGCGCCTGCCGAGGACTGAAACCTCAGTGCCGGTAGGAGACGCGGTTGCATTGCATTCGCAATTCGCACTGCTGGGCTTCAATCGGGCCTGCCCGCTGTCTTTTCAAGATACAGAATTGGAGGCGGGCTGCGTCTCCGCCACGCCAAGATCGATCAAGACCAGATGAGGGGGCCCCGCAGTGCTCAGCAGCATCAGGTTTTCCAGCTTCACCTTCAGAAGCTCGGAGATTCCCCTCAATTACATTCCCATGTGTAGCAGCATGCAACATAAACCGGATCGGACCCCAAAAGCACTTCTACTTCTGGCAGTTCCAGAACGCACCTGAGTAGCGAGAAGCATGTCTGCAGATCTGTGGAATATGAGCTCACCATTCCGAATTTGCACTGTCCGCAATGCCATGCTGATTTGAGGCTTGCTTGCAGCCACGTGGCGTCTTTGTGAATTCTTGACTCCTTATCTCTGGACTCTGACTTCTAGCACGCAAAACCTCTGGGCTTACACACGGCGACTTAGGTCCATCAACAGACGTGGTCGGCTAGTACCCATGCGAAACCGGCCGGCCGGCTAACTCTACGATCTGACTTTGCAAGTGTCCAATGCCACTGCATACCGCCATAATAGTGCAGGCGCGAGACATAATGCAGGTGTCGCAGGGCATACAGGGCTTGTTGCAGCATTTCTGCAATGAAGCCTTCCTGAGAGGCTGAACCGAAATCATGAAACCATGGAGCCACGATTTATCGGCACTGCCAGTGCCACAAGGTGTGTGTGCAAGTGGTTTGGGGTACTACGAGAGAGGGCGATATCTGCATTCTTGTGTCACTCAGCTTTGGCCGCTCCCCCTTCGGGGCATTCAAGTTGTTCAGAAGCTGGCGCAAAGTGCCCCCATTCACTGCCTCTGCACAGGATGCCACACCACATGGCAGTCCGTAGTATGGCAGGCAACAGCGTTTAAGCCATCGCATCATTCCCTGTTGTGTCATAGCTAGCAGCTAGCAGCGCCACATCACATGATGGAAACTCTGGCACTCGCATCTGCAGGGACCTCCATGACAAAATAAGCATATCTCTCGTCTTGAAAGAAGTCAAACAGCTTGATGATGTGGGGGTGGTTTGTGTGCTGCATCTGCCAGAACTCCTGCGGCGGTTCACGGTAAAGTCTTCACATCCTTGCACACCAAAAGTGAGGATTCTGACGAACGCAGCATTTCGCGATAGACCAGTTGCGAAGGAAAGGCTAGGCCCACGCAAAGAAGCACTGCCTGCTCGACCATCTGCTCGGCTTCGCCAGCGGAAATCTGAAAATGCTTTGCCAGCTTCTGCCGATCGACGCCTGTGATGGCGGAACAATGAGAGTTTGAAATGTCGCGCCCCAAGTCAAGCTTGATACTCCAGAACATGCTGCCCGGTCTTCTCACGGAATGCTGCAAGCAAGTCACGCTTCATGGCTTGCAGATCCTGGGTGGCCTGGGTCGGGACTCTGACACAAAATATGTGTGCATTTTCTCTGAGCTCTGCAGACAACAGACTGCCTAGCTTGTCTGCAACTGGCAACTCCCTTGCTGGCCTCAGCCTGCTCACGTCTGCTTGTGAATCTACACCGAGCCTCGTTCCGCACGAGAAATACGCGGGCAAAGGCGCCACCGCCAATGTCCGCATCGACAAAGGTGTAGCCTGGCGGTTCTGCTGCCGGCATCTACGCACCCCTACAGTACCCACTGCAGCTTGGAGGAGCTCAAGTCCGGATGGAACTGTATACGCGAAGCTGAAAGCCCATGTCGTGATTGAGGCTGCACGCCGATCGTTGCGTAGGACTATTACCGCGGCACCATTTACCGTGGCTACGTATCCCCCAATCCCCGAACTCCCAAACACTTGCGTTGAACTGGCCTTCTGGACAGGGCTCGAAGCGCTTCAAGCCCGCTGCATCACGCCGTTTCGAGTCGAGGCCCGTGATTCTTTGCACAGGAAACCTGGAAAGTCTTTCCAAGCAGCTAGGAGCAATACTCATTTGCTGTCTATGAATGATATATGGTTGGCCAGGAATACTGCGCGACGGCCACCCACAAACGAGCTCTGGTGCAACTGTGTGAGACAAGCGACGGGCTGGTTTTGGGCTTCTGAAATATAGTCAGGTTGGCCACACCTGCCTGGGCAGAAAGGCAGGCACTAGTGCCCAGCAACAGATACTGGCCGAAATCACGGCGGCTACGCACTTGGCTACCAGTAGGACCGCTCAGAAGATGCGCGGCTCAGACAAGACGAAGTCTGAAGTGCATCTCCTGCGGCCCTGCTGCTGCATAACAGGCGATGTCGGACTGCACAGCAGTTCGGATGACATCTGTGGCCTTACCGGAGAGCAGAACGCAGCATTTTTTTCCTCCGGCCTGCCCTGATGTAGCTGCCAAGTCAGAACTTTGCGATCGTGGACAACGGGCTTTCTGATGAGCTGTTGAGGTGCCGAGCAAACCAGGAGTGGCAAACCCTGCCGTGTTTCGGCCGGAGCTCCAGTGCTGAGGCACCGACATCCCCCAATCCCTCACCGGCTGCAAGGGCGCACCTCAGCCGATCCCGGTGCTGCCCTTCGAAGATCGTCGTCGAAGCATACCAGAAAGCACAACACCGTCACGTCTGCACGACTAGCAATACAGATTCTACAGTTCTACAGACTGCCTACTAAGTACTTATTATTCAATACAAGTCTTTCTAGCATTGAGGTGTATTCTCTCTTCTCCTCCTGTTCACGCATCCCCGCAGAATTGTTTCAGAAATCTCGGACAAATCGATGCATGAAACAAGCCCGGGCACAAGCGGCGCTGCGTAGTGTGGAAAGGGCGGAGTGCCCGCAAAGCAGGAAACATCGATCTAGGTTGGTCTTACAATATGGGTGTCTAGTGACCTTGCGACTGCTGCGTAGGCTGTTCGCCGGCATGCTGGTGCTCTACAGAGAAAGTATAGACAACAGCAACCAGCCGACTCATGCGATATGCTCTGGCAGACATGTCAGTTCGTGTGAACGGCACACGAGTCTTGGTGTTAAGGGTGCGTGCGTAATACTCGCCATGAAATGTTCAAGACGCACTGGGAGGCGAGGATGTGCAGCCTTGGTGCCACTAGACTCAGCCAATAAGCTCGCGGAAAGCACGATTCGTCAATCGTTCGGCCAAGCCGCTGCTGAATTGGGGTGTGGGAGCGAGCAGGGCCAGAAGGTGTGTCAGTGGCATTAGCATTCGCTGTGGTTGGGGTGGTGGTCGTAGTTGCGGCGGCGGGGCCAGTCGCGGCAGCGGTGGTGGCAATAATAAGCGGTGGTGGTCGTAGTGGAGGCAGTGGGCAGCTGCAGTGGTGCTACGCAGCAAGAGTAGTAGTCGGAGTCACAGCAGGTCATCTTCTAGTGGTAGTCGTCGTCGTAGTCGTGAAAGTAGACGCAGAAAAGGTGGCAGTATGTAGCAGTAGTAGAGGTGTGTCACAAAATGCCCAGGCGCCTCAGGGCGCGCCAGCCTAGTAGTAGTAGTAGTAGTAGTAGTAGTAGTAGTAGTAGTAGTAGTAGTCGTAGGAGTAGTAGTAGTAGTAGTAGTAGTAGTAGTAGTAGTAGTAGTAGTAGTAGTAGTAGTAGTCGTAGTAGTAGTCGTCGTAGTAGTCGTAGTAGTAGTAGTAGTGGTAGTGGTAGTGGTAGTGGTAGTGGTAGTAGTAGTAGTAGTAGTAGTAGTAGTAGTAGTAGTAGTAGTAGTAGTAGTAGTAGTAGTTTTTTGCCTCCTGCACGGCTGAGTACACGAAGCAGGGCGGTAGGTCTGACGATACGGTGAAAATGGTAGTAGTAGTAGTAGTAGTAGTAGTAGTAGTAGTAGTAGTAGTAGTAGTGGTGGTGGTGGTGGTGGTGGTGGTGGTGGTGGTGGTGGTGGTGGTGGTGGTGGTGGTCTAGCGGCAGAAGAAAAGACGAGTAGGAGCAAAAGCAGTAACAGCGGAAGTAGCATTGAATGCCTTCAGCATCTAAAGATGGGTTGCAGACTTTTCGTCTTCCTAGAAGGCGGCTCGGCAAACACAGGCCGAAAAATTATGCCATGAAACAAGCTCACTTATTAATCAAAAGAAAACATTATCGAGAAGCTCGCTTGCAAAAGCCCCCCATGCAAGCAGCAGTGGAAGAGTCAAAGATGGCCAAGCCCTTGTTCCTGAACTGTGCGAAAGCACCGGTCAGGAATCTGGCGGTGAGCTCAGAGTTGGCCGAGCACCGCCACCTCGCGCAAGTTTCAGCAGGCAGCAACCCCGAAACTTGTCGAGCACTGGTGGACTTGATCTTCCATCTACTGCTTTGGCTGCTTCGGGCGAGACTTTGTCAACTTCTGCGCTTGATTCGTTGGGTGTACATACTGTTCTCATCCGGCGGTCGCCACGATTGCAGATGTCATCCAGAACTTAGGAAGGAGCCATCAGCGGCACACTGTAATTAAGATGTGCGAATAATAAACCGAACCCCACAATCTCTCATGAGTCTTGCGGTCCTCAATTCTAGAATGCTACACTACACGCCAAAAACGGACCCGCTAAACACATAAACTCAGTGAGCAGGGGTACGGCGGCCACCGCTGCGGCGACCCGCTGCACGGAACCGCCGCTCCGCGGCCAAAAATTGCCTTCGAAAAAACCGGTTCAAGTTTCCATGCTGCGATCTATGTAAGTGCAAAGTGAGGTCTTGGGTCCACAGGAGCAATTGCTTTGAGTTTCGGTCTTGGGGTTAAGGGTTGAAAGATGCGTGGGTTGCGAGTTTGCTCTGACACCCAGACCCTCCAGGCAAGGCATGTTGAGAAGCTTCGGGGGTGCAGGGCAAGCATACTGGCAGGTTCTACTCTCTGCCTTCTCCGTGTTATGCTTGTGTTTCTACACCTCAGGTTTGCCCAGCAGGTGGCTTCGCGTCGTGCGGTTATTTCGTGCTTTCTCAAAAACACTGTAGACACACACATTTTCAGCTAAGTGTAGAGAGAAAAATAGTGATAAACACAGACATAGATGTCGACAGAGACTGGGAGAGAGGGAGCGAGAGCGGGAGACAGAGAGAGAGAGAGAGAGAGCGGAAGATAGAGATAGAGATTGCTATGAACTCTGAAATAACAACAGCATGAATACAGATATGCACAGATGTGGATACACATGTCCAACATAATACAGAAAGTGCACATATCACGGCCTGGGGCAATCCCGCCATTCCTGATGCATAATGACAGGACAGACCTCAGCACGAAAGGCAACTGTGCCATGCAACACGTACTAACACGTTGCATGGTATGCCTTGCAAGTCTGTGCTCCTTCCTTCTCAGGGATCGGAATGCCCCTTCCAAAATCATGACACCGATACGCATATCTACCTGCGGCATGCGAACTCCGTCAAAAATGATAATATTGGTTTCGCCCCTCTCGCACTAATGTCGCCATCAACGTCATCGTGGCCATGGTCCTGATCGTGCGCACGGCCGTGGTCGTCGCAGTTGTCGTTGTTATTGGCGGCGGCGGATGCATCTGCCACCACGGAGAGGGTCTCGATTTCAGGCTTGCGTTGTGCCATCACTCGAGCTTGGCACATCGCAATTCAATCACTTTTTCGCGCGGTGGCTTTTGCAGCTGTACGAAGCGTAGCATGCCTGCAAAAAGCTGTTGCATGTTCACATTGGAATGGCTTTCTCATGTGTATCGACAGAGTTTGATTCCTGTTGTGTTGTGCTTTGTTGCTGGAGGTCGGGTGAATTTTGCCTGGGAAGCATGCTGCATGCGCGGCTAGGTGTCTAGAATTGTCTAGCCGTAACTTTCTGCTTTCGGGGTGTGTGGAGGCTGATTACGTCTATGGTCCTACGGATTATGTGTGCAGTGTTATGTCTGTGCTTCGTTGCTGGAGGTCGGGTGAATTTTGCCTGCGAAGCATGCTGCATGCGCGGCTAGGTGTCTAGAATTGTCTAGCCGTAACTTTCTGCTTTCGGGGTGTGTGGAGGCTGATTACGTCTATGGCCCTACGGATTATGTGTGCAGTGTTATGTCTGTGCTTCAGTGGGGGAGGGGGGATGGAGGGGGCGGTGACTTCTGTGGCACTGCGGATTAATTATGCAGTTGTTTTTTCTGTTTTGCCCTCAGCGTACTTAGGAGTCTGAGTTGGGGACCGGGTGATTGGGCGGGTGAGTGGGGGTTGATGACGTCCATGGCGGTGTGGATTATGTGTGCACTGCTTTCTTTTTGCTTGGGGTTCGGGAGTGATGATGTTCATGCCTCCTGCGTCATGAAGGAGGCATGGACAGTCTTCACAAATATTGATGAGGTTTGGAGCCTATTAGCCCCCATTCTGGCCTACATCCGGGATGTTTGTCCGTACTGGTATCGCAGAGCTTAAGGATCTGGACCAGATCGTGTAGCTACTGACTCGGTCTTAAGATCACTGCTTCTTCTGGTGTTTGCCGAAACTTCCGTCGAGTTCTTAAGACCAAAGCTGGTGTGTTGACCCTCAATCCACTGGCCTTCCAGGTCCACGTCGGACTTCGTAATGGCCTGGAGTAGCAATCATCACTCACTCGGATAAGTAGTGCACGAATCACTGGCGCCTCCATTTCCACGGAGCAGTGAGCTGCAGGCGTGGAGCCCAAGCCTTGCTAAAGAGGTCGTGTGGAATCTGTGTTCATCTGCACATGTTAGAGCAAACGGTCAAAGAGAGAATGAGGCCTTGCTGAGTTGATATCTACACAAGGACAGAAGACTTTTTGCTCCCGGCAGAGGATGGGTCGGGCGCAAAAAGCATAAGTCCTTTATTTGGCAAAGTGGGCGCCCGCTTGAAACTGAAGCTGATGTGCTAATCCATTGTTGGCACAAATCAGTGTCGACGGCACCTCCTCCTCCTTCAAAGGGGTGCTCCGGCTCTGCCCAACCACTCGACGAAATCTGCCACAGCGGGGTGAGGTACCTCATGCTAGCAGGCGAGCGACAAGCATGGAATCCGGGGGGCAAATCTCTTCAGGCCAGAATCGGATTGGATTGAATGTTGCTGACTTCTCAAAGTGCAGACAAGCAGAGCTGGTGCCGCACTAAACTGCGTATGGCACTAAAGACGATCTCGAAGCAGCTGCAACCCTCCGCCATGCTCTTCTCCTTGCAGCCGCCGATGCCCAGCCGCAAGGATGCCGCCCTCACCCTTCCAGGCCGCAGAGGGGCCCAGAACGAGGAAGTCTGCGCCTCGCCACGGATTCCACGCCCGAGGCCTCTTAAGATGCCACTGAAGACGCTCTCCAACAGTTTTAGACGGCTCATACCTCCCAACATTCCCCACTCCACTCCCAAGCATCATAGACACCCTGCCAACTCCCGATCCCTGCTTAGCTGCAACAGCGCTCGATTTTCGAGACAAGACGAAAACCCGTTGCTCCAGTCGGTCCGGAGTCCCCTTTGATGCGCTTTTCAAGCCCGGCCGTGGCGTCCAGATGTCACAGGCACTGCTGCCACAGCCTGCGCCAGACCTGTGTGGGACAGGTAGGGGCTGCATGTCCAAGAGGAACAGCAATCATTGGCTCGACTCGTGATGTGATTCTCAGGACAAAAATGCCCAAGTCATGGGAGCTTGATGCCATGAACAACAATCACATTCTACCGGCCTTTCTCATCTGTGCCGTAAACGAGGAGTGCGAGCTTCCGCGAGGGCAGCGGGCCCACAGCGAGTAGACCTGCAGGGCTTGCAGCATCCGACTGATTGCACATCTGCTTGGGTTTTACAAGTCATGCGAGACCCGGCTGCAGCTGCGTTTGAGGAGGCCCCCGGGCGAATTACAATACCTATGCGAATGTCGAGCCAATTTTGAATTAGCAGCTGCCAAACAAGAGTAAGTTTCCAATCCTGTGCCATTGGCCGAGTAGGACGTCCCATCCAGGATGAAGGATCGTCCTCTGCGCACAGGCGAAAGTCACGAATGGAAGCTGCATGCATACGTACTGTCCGCATACTGGGGCCGTGAAAGATCGCTCTCAACGCTTCGAGGTGGGGGGCTCACTTCTCTGCAACTTCTACTGTCTGAGAGAAGACCAAGTCAAAACCCGTGCCGTGGTGGACTCGCAACAAGCAAAGGCTCTGGCATGTCCTGCATCATTGGACTCGGGGTGCGCGAATTGAAGATAAGGGAAAGCGCAAGAGAAACCTGATGCGGGACTGCAGAGTGAGCCATCGCTTCGCTCACTGCAGCAGGAAGCATTCAGCGAAGAATCTACAGCACTGTAAATCTCAAGCGTTGCATCCACCTCTCGAAGGAACTGCAGTAATCAGCTGCCCGAGCAGCGGCTAGTCCAGGCATTCTCGGATGGGGATCCGATCAACAGCAGGTTTGCGGAGGCGCACTCGCCAGGAAGATCCTCAGTGCGTGGGAACGCTAGCCGAGACCCCACCCGGATCCTACCTTCAAAGCAAACGACAGCTACGCAGCTACGCTTGCGGACGAGATGCCCACCGATCTCCCACAAAGTTCGCCCCGCTGGCATCGATCACCTTCGTCCCAAAACAAGCAAGCAACACGTGTCTGAATGTCTTGACTCCTGCGTCGTTGCGAACGATCTGGGACAAGCCCTCAAAAAACGCGAATCACAGCACGCAGCACGCGATCACAGTCACAGCTCATCCAACCGTCTCATTATGCGCGGCGAAGCTGCTCGAGGCGCATAGCGGCTGACGAAATACAGCTTGTTGGCTAACCTTGGACACACCGTTGGGGTGAGCGAACTTTCACGCAGATTCATGCTTTACTTGACCGGGTTCACAGACTAGGAGGACCTGACTCAACGCTTATGGCCGGAACGACTGTGGAAATAGCCAGTGGCATCGACAACAGCACATCCTCATCATCATGAGCAGCAGGGCAACATGAGGGGCTGCATCAATGCATGCTACGAATTTGAAGCTGAGCGTGCGTACCTTTAGTATGACTGGAGAGTTTCCACATAGTGTACGTAGCCGTGACGATTATTTCCAGAACTGCTATCTCTTGGAATTGTTGCAAGACGCCAGTTAGACTCTGCACAATTAGAGCAGCCGGCAATGTTGGATGGGTTGGACCGGCATAAAATGGCATAAAATGCGGGTTGCCATGTTTGGTGGACGTGGCATGCTCAGGCTAGCTGATCTGGTCCCTGAGCGCTTCCGTAAGCGAAAACAGGCTTGATACCTCTCCGATCCCTGAACCAGGACAAGGCCTCATAATGACGAAAACTACTTTATATTTCATACCAAAACCCTGTAAGCGTTAAGGAAATGTGCTGCAACGTTGTCTGTTAGCTCGAGTCTCTAAACCGGTCTAAACGTGGGTGCATGTATGTATATATATATATATATACATACGTATACGAATTTGTACATATACATATACACCTGTATACCCGTGTATATAAAGATCGAGAGGGGTCTATGTACACCTTTACCCACTCCTCATTAAAGAACCATGCAAGCGACTAAGCAACACCCTACCGCAAAGCCTAGCTGAGTAGTGATGATTACTGTAGTGTCCCTGAACAATTTCAAGTTCGGCCCAGGCAGCGTCACTGCCTGGCTGCGCTGTCCTGCACCGAAAGCCAGGCAAAGAGGGGCTCGGCGAAGGGCCGCGTGGACTGGGCCAGCGCCGGCCTTGAGACAACATGCAGGAGCGGGAGTCCGTGCAGACTGAACAATCGAGTGCCGAATTTCTTGTTCTTTCGGTTCTATGACAGGAGCTGGGTGTGAACTCATGTCCTGTCCCGTGGGACGAAGGGATCGGTGGAGGGAAGCCTTCTGCCACGAGGGTCACAGCCAACTGTTTCATAGGGCTGTTGATGCGCGAAGCCCTACACTGACATCTGCCGCACAGTGATACTGTATTGAAGTAGGAAGGTGTTTGGCTTGTGAACTGCCAGTTCAAACATTCCTTGCACGTTGGACACGTTGGAGTAAAGGTGCCTGAAGACCGCCGCGCTGAACCGCTTCCCAGTCCTGAAATCACGGGCAAGCCACAACCACCGACAAAGCAGCGGAGGGGAAGAAGCTAATTAGGCAAGGTCGCACTGCAGTGTGCTACTTCAGCCAAGCATCGCAACCATCCGAGCCTGAGGCACAGAAAACAAACACGGATGCTGGTTGTATGACACCTCTGGGCAATATGGATTATGTCGCGTGGTGCGCATTTTGGTCAGCATAATCAAGATCATTCAAGATCACTACGGCTGGACCTTGAACCTACAAGTAGCAAGATCAACCAGCAAACGCACACAGCCGTGAGTTCAAAACCCAATGGCGAAAGAGACATGACCAGAACTGCGAGAATGGAAGTCATGCGACTTTGAAGCCAAAGAGCCCAAGCCACAGACTTTCCAGGTGCTGTGCTTCTCGGCACGGCATAGGTGCGCACACTTTGACACCAGACTGCTGGAGGCAAACGTTGTGCCTTGCAGCAGCACGCGCACCGCATACAAACACGTATGGATGCGTGTGTGTGTGTGTGTGTGTGTATATGTATACTTATATTTGCTACCCCCCCCTCCAGGACCTACCTCGAAGCCTCTTCTTGTACTGTCTAGACGACGTCACGACTCCACTCCGAACAAAACTGTTATATACTGCGTAGTCTTCCCTATCTACGACGACATTACACCGTTCGAACTAAGACAATACCATGAAGTTATTTCTGATGTTCCTTTTTTGAACCGTGATCTAGAGGGCATATTAAAAGTTATTCTAAATAGCATCTTAAAAGGTATTCTAGAGGATATTCTACGAGGTATATTTGAGGATATTTGAGGTATTCTGAGGATATACTCCATAGGCGGTCTTCCGTAAGGATGTTATTCTATAGGTCATTCTATACGGTGTTCTAGAGGGTGCACCATAAGGTATTGTACAAAAAGGCATTCTGCGGCCTATACGTAGGAAGGTATTATATAGTGTATTTTATTTGAAATTCATTCAGGTGCATAGAGAGGGTATTTTATAAGGTAGTTGGGGTGGTCTTCTTGGTTCCTGATTTCTTCATAGGAATCCATTGCCCAAAAGCTGCAATTCAACTGGAAATTCTCAGATCTTGGGCTCCGCCTGGCTTTCCATATTTAAAGTCCGTACCTATAAGGTACCTTTTAATGTTTTCTATAAAGGATTCTAAACGGTATCCTAAATGGTACCGTATATGTATTCTATATGGCATACATAAGGTACACAGGATGTAGCAAATAAAGGTGTTCTTCTTCAAAGTATACCTTTTTGTAGAAAAAGTATTCTGTAAGGTATTCTACAGGCTGTTCTCCTTTATTCCTCATTTCTTTCATAAATGTCCCTTGCTCAATAAGCTGCATAAAGCTTGGGTTCCTTCTGATTTACCCTAAGTAAATCCTGATCTATACGGTTTCTGTCGGATATCCCAAAGGGGATTCTCAAGAGCATATACAAGGTATAAGGGGAGTATCATTCATAGGGTTCTTATAAGACATTCTGTAAAATTTTCCAGATGGTGTTCTAAAAGGCTTGTGTAGGGCCTAGGGTTTTGTGGTATCCCAAGCTGTAACGTATAGAAGGTATTCTATATAGGGTGTATATATAGGACAGATTTCTATGCGGTGTTTTATGAGTTACAGGGTAGTCCATAAGGTATATACAAAGCATATACTGCATAAACTGTATATGGTACGACCTGAGTATTTTCTATGAAACTCTGGACGGGATAAAACACTAATCCATACTGAACTTTAAAAATCTTCTTTTACAAGTAGGTTCCTGGTTTCCATCATGGGAACCCGTTACTCAATAAGCTACAACTCAGCTGGACATTCGCAAATCTTCGGCTCCGACTGATGTTCCATATTTGACATCTATCTGTAAAGTATTCTATAGGGTATTCTATTACGGGAGTCTACGAAGTATCCTATAAGATATTCTATGAGGTGCATATTGACAGGCTGTATAATACCTGGTGCCCTAAATTTTTACAAGGGAGGGGCGCGCCGACATGATCACAAGCATAGGGGGGAGTTAGGAGTACAGATGCGATCAAACTGTCAAGCACAGCAATCCGTTCGCCAATCTCCACTGCAGGTTTAGGGCCCTACGGTTTAGGGCGGCTGGGGTTTAGGGCTCTACGGTTTAGGACCCCTTGGGTTTAGGGCCCTACGGTTTAGGGCGCCTCGGGGTTTAGGGCTCTGCGGTTTGAGGTTTTTGGGGTTTAGGGCCTTACGGTTTAGGGAGTTGATCCGCCCCGGACTTAAAGCCCTACGTTTAAGTTTTGCCAACAGATGTGTGAATTCCCTGTCCCTTTGTTTAATGCGGTATTTACAAGCTTTTTGCTCGGT